AACACATGCCAGCTGGGACCAAAATTGTGTTCATGTTAACAAAAATTGTGCTAACTGGGGACTAATACCAATAACACATGCCAGCTATGACCAAAATTGTGTTCATGTTAACAAAAATTGTGCTAACTGGGGACTAATACCAATAACACATGCCAGCTATGACCAAAATTGTGTTCATGTTAACAAACATTGTCATAACTGAGGACTATTACCAATAATGCATCCCTGCTGGCACTAAAATTTTGTTCATGTTAAAAAACTGTGTGCTAACTGGGGACTAATACCAATAATACATTCTTGCTGGGACCAAAATTTTGTTCATATTAACCCTCTGACTACCAAGCCTGTTAACACTTGCACCTTCCCAGATTCCATGTATTTTAGTGTGTACTAAAAATGCAACATCTTCACAACTATTTTTTATCCACTTATCATATTTTGTAGTTTTGCATCAAATTTAATGGAGAACAAATCTAAAGATTGGTGATTGGTGCAAAAAAGGCAACCCAAAAATCTTGTAATCTGACAACAATACAGAGCAGGGCTATTCAATTAGTGGCTTGCGGGCCAGAGCCAAATCTGGCCCGTAGAGGCCTAGCAAGTGGCCCATGGATCATTGCCAGTTGTGCTGTATTATTGATCTTTCTATGCTGGGACTTAGGCTTCTAGCACATGACGATCCCCGTTTTCCAACATTTTGGCCCCTGAGTCAACTTAGTTCAAAAGCTCTGATACAGAATAACGAAAATGTCATCGCTGCACAACATACACTTATCATATTTTGTACTTTTGCACCAAACTGAATGGATAACAAATGTCAAGAAAAAAAGTGTTTTTTTTAAGGGGTTTTTGTTCGACATCATCATCATGTGGCTGTAGCTATGGTGTAAAAAATATTTTAAAAAAGGCCACAGAAAAATCTTTTATCTGATAGCCATATATAGACTAAACTTCAGGAAATAAAAAACATGAAATTGCATTGTTTTATCAATTTAGAAAATGGCGTGCAATACAATATCAATGCAACAACAAATAAATATATGTACCACTCACGTTTATCAAATTTTACAGCAAAATTTGGCAGCGAAGTGGTACAGTTCACAGCACTGTTCAATAGAAAGTGGCGTGTGACAATTCCTACACTAACAACTTGTCATGGGCCCTTTGTAGCCTTTTTTATGTTAGTGAAAGTGGAGAAGCAAAGTGTCTGTCTGTCAGACGCTTCAAGGACCCTACACTTTTTTTAGGAGCATTAGGTGTTGGTGCTCTCTTTTTTGCTGGAAAAAAAAAACCTGGGTAAGAGCTGTGACCAGGGATGAAATAAAATTATGCGACTTCGGAGGTTGCTTTCTATATTGCGCTAATAATTTCTAATGCAGTAGTTGACTCTGAATAACTAAAAGAGTAAACAAAAAACGAAATAATTTCCGCCACCATTTCAAAAAACGACATGTAAGAAGTCCATAAGCTAGCATTTGGTTACTGATGTTAACTCCTGACATATTATGGGAATAATCATTGATGGTAGCGAATGGTGAATGGATAAATTGATGTGTGCTCAAGTGTCTGAAATAGACGGCTTTTTCACAACACATGTGAAGCAACAGGACAAGAAACCCTCTCACTTCATTTGGGGCTGTGTGTTTCCACTTTTTGGCCAGAAAACTGTCTAGTTTTGCAGCAATCTTTGCCTCAGCATAGCGGTCTGTTTCTTAAGCAAACACAGCAAGAATTTCTTTACTGAAGAAAATATTTAAAATATCCAGTGGTTCATTTGTTCCTTCTGGAAGAAATAAACCAGAAGGGGATACTTTAGGAAAGCCTTCTAAATCACAATGCCAGTCATCAACCAGTGGGGGCTGGTGTAGCAAATCTTTCCCAGACTCCTTAGATGATGATGATGAAATCTGCATCAAAAGCAGCCATGATATCTTCGTCATGTGCAGGCTCATGTACAATATCTTTAAAATCTACAGGCTTTGAATGAATACTTTCACTAGAACTATCAGTATCAGAAACTGCTGCACTAGTGTTTGCTACCAACGGTGTAAGTGCCGGTCGAGTCTTAGACTTGACTTTGAAGGGACATGCCTTTGTTTTACTATTGATGATGTTTTTGATGGCACTTTATTAGATTTAACAAAGTCAGAGTCATCAAACAGTTCAGTAATATCTTCGCCTTTACTTTCCGAAGAACAATCAAGAAAATTGTGCCCAGCAACAGAAAAATGATAAATATGACCACCATGATCCCTTCAAGAATCTGACACTATGATGAAAATGTTATCAATGTATCAGCAACACGGAAGCTCACAATAATAATTCATCAAAAATTTACAATAAGCACCACATACAGTCCTCGGAAGTAAAGGCGTTCGGCATGTTGTTGACCACATCACCCACTAAGTGCCGACTGGTCTAGCCCTATATGCCCAATATTCTTAAAGGCTTGGAACTAGGGCTGTACCGAATAGTGATTTTCACTATTCGGCCGAATACGAATAGTTGGACCAACTATTCGGCCGAATACGAATAGTGAATCATCATCATCATGTGCTTTGCCGGCTGGCATGGGCGATTATGCCTCGCCACAATCTGCGATCTCCTGCAGCACGTATTAGTTCGTGTGCTGACACACCTCCATGAAAAACCTTCATTCCATGTTGTCAGCATTAGGCCAGCTTTTTGTTTCACTGAAGGTATTTCCAGCTGTACTAAACAGGAAAATACGACAAATACAGAGAGTCAAAATGAAAACACGCAAGGCGAAACATCAAAAACAAAAATAACGCAGACGAAGAAAACAATGCCGTCCTTACAAGTCGCCCAGCTCCCCGCGAGCTCACGAAACCAGACGCCGGGCGGCCAATGCCAGAAGATCAAACAACAAAGACAATCAAGAAACCGAACGTCGATCAAAACATTCAGCCGCTGCCGTTTCCACGAGACGACGAAAGAACAGATACGACACCCATAAATGATGACGAACTCCCGTTACGAAGAGGACACTCCACTCAAAGAAATCAAGCCGACAACACTACTCGCAACACATGCAAGATGGAAATAAAGGGGCACTTGGTACGCTCGTAGGTGGTGCACAAAGATAACGCTTTACAATATAAAACAAGGTGGGAAGTCTTGATGTTTTTTTTCCACCAGTCCAGAAATGGTTGTGAGGTAACCACTATTCGTATTCCGCCCGACCGCAACTATTCGGCCGAATACCGAATAGTTATTGGGTGCACTATTCGGCCCCGAAGCAAATATTCGGTACAGCCCTACTTGGAACAGAGTCCTTAAGTATCACCTACGAAAGGCAGCAAATTATGCTGAGAAATAACCTGTGCAATATGATATTTGTATGTACCCTTTTTTTTTTTTTTTCTCAAAAAACACTGGTTTGAGATTTTCGATGTCTTCTTTTCCATCTGATAAATTATAATGATGACAGTAATTTTATTAAAACTTATATATACACTAATTTTGACTAGTGGCTATACTGGAAGAAATCATGAAGACATTATAACCTATCAAGTGTTATAAAAAAGCAGCTAAACATGGCTGGAGTAAGGCTTGCTACTTCATCTCAAAGAGGTAATTTTATAATTACTGAATGTCATCATCATCATCATCAGGTGCCTTGCCGACTAGCGTGGGCGATCATGCCTCTCCACAATCTACGATCTCTTGCAGCATGTATCAGTTCATGTGCCGACACACTCCCATGCCATACAAAAAGACTGTCAAGAATCTTCACTCATTGTCTTCCTCTGAATGTAAAGAGACAAAACAACTGCTCTACATGTGTGCTAGTTTATTCTATCAATAGCATCCGGAGAGGCATACGTGCTTGCTTTTCTACTTCTAGGCAAGTTTAGTTTTTTGTAATCTTGCATATGTCAGTAGATTCAATATTTGTTCTGATTCTTGTCTTATCTTTGAATTGTATCAATTAATTCACTGTCAACTGATACAATACTTTACAAATCTTTCAATTTTATCTTTAACTTTTCCTTATGCTTTTTGAATTATTTATCTTCTATTTCACATCTTTTCCATCAAAAACATTATTGGAATACAGTAATTTTTCTACTTCTCATCATATCTTATTTGGTTATTTTGTGAAGAGAAAGTGATACAATAATTATCAAGTATGTTTAATATTTTAATGATACCCCCAGTTGAAACAAACACTAACATTGTTACTTCTGATCTTCTGAGTGTAGGCCACCCAAACAACCAGGAACTTGTAGAACTAACCATTTCCTCCACAGTAAACTTAGCTCTTCATGACAGTAGGCATAACTACTGCTTGGTGACCCAGCAAATGGCAGCAAGCCACATGGTACATCATCATATGAGAGCCCTTCAAATTAAAACCTTCAAAGTGTGATAGAAACTACCATAACCACACTATTTTTTGCGTGACCTGTCAATAGGAAGTTTCCAAACAGCATGACTGCTGTGACAGACTTTATGACTGGGTCAGACACACCAAGTTGTGACCCCAGAATCGATTCCTGTTCCACTCATACGCTTGCTGGACTGACAGGCATGCATCATTGTACTGGATCTTCTCATTCATCTATGAATTTCTATAGGTTTCTACGCTTTTTTTGTCAAAAATTAGATAACAGAACACTGCTCCTCTTTGGTGCATGTCAAAAGTGGGGTGGACAAATTTAAACTGTCATTATGAGGTCACTGTGTTCATCTGTACAGTGATGTCAGGTGATTAACACTCTTGACATCCTTAACAGCAATATTGACAGGTTACAAGACAATGGTATGTTTACTGTAATTGCTATCATATTTTTAAGGTTTTCATTTGAAATCTCAAATTTCCTTAACAGGAGCACTTACAAAAACCTTCTGAAACCCAAGTGGATAGGCTTGCAGTTCCTTAGCCTGGGAGGCATGTATGAAGGAGAACAAATAGAGAAGAAGCTTTGATACTTGGTCCTTTTGTATTCCCTTGTTGTATGACAAGTATCTTCAAACTACTGAGGTGGAGGTAACACTGCAGAAGCTGCAGGAACTGAAGCCACAGACTTTGGCTGGATGTTGCGTTTCTTCATGTACAGCACCACTTGATCAGGAATCTCAGCCAGAACCTCCTTGGCCAGGGTCATCTTGCTCATGTTAATGTCAGCCCCAGGCTGGCCTCTAACAAGATCACGGAAGGGCACAAACTGGTGAAACAAGATAAATCAGTGTCAGAAAACTGTCCTTCAGACAGAACAAAAGTATGTATAAGTGTGCACAGCAGCCTGTGCTTTTAAATAAAATAGCACAGAACACATTTCACATTGCTGGCGCATCAGGCTTTGGTTACTAAATCTTTTTTTTTCAGACTTATCGACGCTCAGCGGGTGATGTGGTCAACATCCTATTGGACAACTTTACTTCAGAGGATATTTCCTGTCACCTATTTAAAGCTGGGTCAACCTGGAAGCCAAGGTCACTTTTCTTTTTAAACTGCATTTGAGAGAAAAAGAAATGTCTGCATTATGAGTTGGGTTGTCCAGAGTGCCTGTGGATAACCCAACTCATAATGCAGACATTTCCACAGGCACTCTGGACGCAAGCCATGGTGTAACAGCTAGATGCTCGCCTGCAGACCAGAAGGTCATGGGTTAGGGTTCTGATGGAGCCAGACTTTTTCCAAAAATGACTTTTACTCCCAGGCTGACCCAGCCTTGAATGGTTACCAGGAATAGTCATGGGAAGTAAAGGTGGCTGGCATGATGTTGACCATCTGACCCACCAAGTGCCGATTGGTCTATAAAATATAGGTCTAGCCCTGGAAAAGTCCTTTATTTTTTTTTTTTTTTTTACTTTTTTTTTTTTTAACTCCCATTCAAATTTCACAATTATTAATAGCAATATGGATACATTGCCCCCATAATGCTCAGGTTGTCCTCTCTTTCTAAAGGCATTAACAATGTCAGTGTCATGTCTTGGTTGGCCATCATCAAATATGGCAGAGCCAGCCAAGCCATCAGCTAAACAACATCTCTCTCTCTCTCTCTCTCTCTCTCTCTCTCTCTCTCTCTCTCTCTCTCTCTCTCTCTCTCTCTCTCTCTCTCTCTCTCTCTCTCTCTCTCTCTCTGTGTGCGTGCGTGTGTGCATATGTGTGCATGCGCGCGCGTGTGTGTATGTGTGTAGCTGGGTGGGTGTGTGGCTGGGTGCCTTATGCATTTAAACAAACATTAGATCTGATATAAATACATGTAAGTATCTTCCATGTGGTGTGGCATTTGTAGTAATATCCACAGCTTTCTGGCTTTTGTACTTATCAATCATCTCTAACCCCCTATTGTCTGTGATCTTCCAAACATCTTCTCTTTCAATATTCTTCTGCTTTTTACCCCTGTAACCTGCCCACTGCCGTGATGTACTCTCAGATTTTACACTTCCCAAGGAATATAAATGTAAAAAAGCCTGCAAGTATACATGCTCACAAGCAGATACACAAACACATACAGGGGCAGGAAGATTTCTAATCCTTTTTGTCATCTGATATTTACATGAAGTTGATGTTACTTAAATTCTTATGTGAGATACCCAGCAGCTGAACTCGTGCAACTCATGGGGAGTTCTAATTCAACACTGTGTAACCTAAACTGTGTGCTTCAGAGCAACAATTGTTAGTCTTATGGAAAACCGCCCTAGGGACAGAAGAAGTTACAGTAATATCTGAGATAGACTGGTTATCTGGTACTGACTTAAAGGGTTAATCTTTCCACACAGAGGGTTATTCTTTCCACAAAAAGGGTTACTTTTTCCACACAGAGGTAATATTTCCTCAGAGATGGTTAGTCTTTCCACACAGAGATGGTTCTTCTTTCCATAAAGAGAGTTAGTCTTTCCACACAGAGGATTATTCTTTCCATACCAGGGATTAACTGTCCACACAGAGCATTAATCTTTTTCTGCCTTTATTTACTTCTCTGAGGAGCGGCTGGCCAAGCGGTTACAATGTCCGGCTTTCATACAGGAGACCCGAGTTTGACGCCTGGTAAGGTGACAGAGTTCTTTCTGCCGGGGGTAAAATTAAACACCCTAACGTGCACAATCCGTGATGACAGCACTTGCCAGGCAGCCCTAAATCCTCAGGCTCAAGGACCCCCTGTCTACACCACCCTAAAAAGTGGTAAAATAGACAGTAGTTTTTTATTTACTTTTCTTGCTTAGTATTCTCCATCGTAAGGCTGAAGGGCTAATATCTCTATTCCACCTCTTCTGTTGATCATCATCATCCTAAAAAGAATGATAACAAATGACAAGAAAACCCACATTTACTTTTCTTCTTGGTCTGCCCTTTATTCCCACTGAAGCATAGGCCTCCCTCAACTAATCCAAGTCATCCTCTCCATTGATATTGCAGATAGCTCACCCCACGTCCTCCTGATCTTTTCAACTTCACTCTCTAGCTCCTGTCTCCAAGTGTTTTTGGTCTGGCTTTATTTCTATACTCCTGTGAGTTCCAGTACAAAGACATCCTAGTTATTTCGCTCTCACCCATGTATTACCACAGTCTCATGGGATGCAAAGAATAGTAACAATGTATCCTACCAGGCATGTCATAGGGGACGACTAAGGGTAGAGTTGGGCTTGGCTACCCCAACCCGTGAAAACAACAGCTACAAAAACCCAATCCAACATGTACAGGTCACACATTTTTTTTTAAAACAGAAACAAGAATTATCAAGTCAACCAAGATATGAGGAAGCTCTTCTAATACAAGACAGATGACCAGGCAAACTAACCTGCACTATATCTCTTTCTGCACATTTGCCAGATACAGGAGACCTCAGCATGTGGTCATCAGCATCTAGTTCATCCATTGCTGTCAACAGTGTTGTCAGAAAATAAAGTTAGCATGATTAGAACAGCTGCCAGTAACATTGCTAATGATAAAGTTACTTCAGCCATCTGTCCAGTCATTACTTCACAGCTTTAGTGAATTTATGTTTTCTGATAGTTATAGTCGACCCCTGTGAAAAGGTCGATCAACCGACTAAGAGAGTCACAACCCACAGGTTGAGAGCCGCTGTGGTCCTAGTGTACATGTCAGTAACAGAGCTAATGTGTAGGGATTGTGTCACGTGCAACCACACCTGGAACTAACCCAATACTAAATGGCACACACACCCAACAAAACAGTTGTTGCGTGTTTACTCTAAATACATAGCTATTGTTGTTTGGGTTTTCTTTACCCTAGGATTCTTTGAGACTATTGCTGTTAGGGTTTTGTATACCCTAGGATTCCTCAAGAAGTCATGAGACCGAGAGGAAGGGTTGGTCCTGCTGTTGGGATTGAGTGTTTCAGCTAGATCTAACAACCATGATGAAAAAAAGGCAACAGTTGTGGGTTGCTTCCTTCAAAGTCACCTGACAGGTGAGGAACTAATAGTCTGCATGCAAATAAGCCAGGTCTGCCAAAACAAGAGGTGCACGTGCAAAACTCAAGTTATGGAACAGTATAAAAGTCTAGAAGTGGATGAACAACCAGAACTGTCCACGGAGATTTACAGTGGGTAAACACAAAGAAGGAGAAGGAAAAGAATAAGGAGGAGGATGAGGTGAAGAAAAAAAGAATAACGAACAAACAAACTTTATTTTTAAAGGGTTAAAAATTGGGCACGCAGGCCCGTCTAACATTCTGCCCTTTGAGGTCTCCTTCCATTCTTACATCATTTCATTCACACATCAAGTAATAAACATTATAAAAGAAGAAGAAGGAGGAGGAGAAGAAGAAAATGGAGAAGAACAAGGAGAAGGAGAAGAAGACACTCATCAGTCTGTTGTGCCATTAACACATCATATAGGGCTTAAGGCCTAGTCCTCCACTGATCATCATGAACATTTTTTTTTTTAGTATCATCAATGAAATCCAGTCCAGCACATCTGGCCTCCCTCATCAGCGTTTATCTTGGGGTTTCCCTTGGGTATCCCCCTTTCCTCTGTCCACATGTTTCCCCATCTCATGACTTGATGAATGATTCTGTCTGCTTCTCCTCATAATGTGCTTTCTACCTTTATATACAATGAAAGATGAGAAATCAATTTTGCCCGTGATCAGACATGTTAGAGAATGTTTTTTTAATTTTTTTTATTATAAACACATATTTTGAGAGACGGGTCAATAGGCAAACAACGAAATATAAACAGTAAAAATGCCCCTGAAGTCGAAAAGATCATTAAACAAATGATTTGACTATCATTGACACCAATAAAAGACAATGAAAACATTGACACGCTGTAAAGGAAGCAGTGCAGAAATGGGACTAAATTTTGGTCTAGGGGTATGATTTTCGCTTCGGGTGTGAGAGGTCCCGGGTTCAGATCACGGACGAGCTCCCAATGTAATGACTGCACTTGTGACTCCTCCACACTGGATATCTCTGGTGCAGAGTTAACACTGGCTCTGATGTCTAGAGGTTCACAGCACAATCAAAGCAGACATAATCTCTCTTCACGGTCACACGACTTCTAACAACGGTTGACACCAGCGGCACATTTCACGAGTTTATTATCACTGTAGCACAATACACGAATCACAGGAGAATCCACTTACAGCATTCGGACAATGGACGTTGACATATTCATGGCTGGCTTCAACAATCAAACAGGGTAACATAACAGCTGGCCTTCACGATCATTCATTCGTCGCCGATTCAGATCCACATGCTCTCGTCATTCTCCATTCATCTTCACAGCTTCAAATGCACTTCCTTCCAGTCTGGGGCCCAGTCACCGAATGACCGCCTGATTCTCAATCCCCCAGATCTCACCATTCACACGTGACTCACGCTTTCCTGTCGTTTCACCATATCTCCGTGAAACCCATGCTCTTAGGGACTTCCCCAATTTTGCCAATCATCCCCTGACGTTATCCCTATTTATAACATCATTACAACATGACAGAATATACCATAATATCATGAGTGAGAGGAGCAGAACTGACAACTGACATTACTAGACATTTCCATAAGTGCTCCATCCCTATCTTCAGCAGAAAGTGCAAAGTTCGAATTTTTCAAGATGCCAGAAACAGACTGATTGCATGTAAGATAAAAAATATAAGAACTCCAGCGATATAAAATTAGGTAATATATAAATCTCAGGGTTCAGAAGACTGAAGAAGGAAGGCGGGAAGGAAAAAAAAAAGGGGGGTGGGGGAGTGAGGATGGGGGAAGGGAGGAGGAAAAGGTGATACCAATAAACAATGAATGGACTATCAAACAATCTCTTATAAGTCATCATCATCACCAATTTCAACTTCTGCCGTTATGCATTGTGAGGAGAAAGTTTTTGACCGATCGCTTGAATGTAGCAATGGATACTGTCATTCTTTGTTGATGTAGAAGCTCTTTGATGTCATCAATTTATCTTCTCCTAGGGCGGCCTCTTGCTTTCACCTCAGATCTTTCCATGTTTGGCGCCTGTGTTGATAGTTGTTCTGGCTGCATTCTTACATAGATGACCAAACCATCTGATCTTCTGTTTCTCTCATAAGTAATCAGTCTTAAATTACTTATATCCACTTACAACAAAAAGCAACTGACAATCACAGAGGCAAAAAGGTAAACATTAACATTACCATCAAATTCAGCATCTCCGACGCCCACTATTATGATTGACATAGGCAGAAAAGATGCCTGAAAATCAAACCAAAGAATATGTAACATAGATTGTAATTACAGTCAGTATGTTGAATATCATTATTTAAAAAGTACTCCATGGATATTTCACATGGATATTATTCATCATCATCAGGTATTTCAGCTCATAGGCTGGTCAACATCTAACATATCTGATTCAGTGGCACTTAAATGGCATTAAGAGCGGACTCTAGAGAAGAGACACGTTTCATATTCAGACTGAAGACAGGGCACAAGAGACTTCACCAACATATATTCAAGTTTTCTTCTTCTTCTTTGCGTTCAGTTTCACATGCTCAGAGCAAACCATCAGGTGGGTTGCCTCTGTGAACTCACGTCAGCAGCAGGTCGTCCTTCATAATTTCCCATAGTTTGCCCTGCACACTTTGCTCTTGGGACCAGGTGTCTTTTCAAAGTTGCAGGTAGAGTGGGCAGGTCTGCAGAATGTGCTCAGGTGTTTGTGGTCCTGTTTGACAGGCACACTGTGGGGACTGTACAATCTTTATTTTATGCATGTGGTAGTTGAGCTGCAGTGTTCTGTTCGAAGACAATTCAAGTTTTTCACTGCAAAAAACAGGGAGATGTGCATCTGCAACTAGACACCTGAAAATGTTGAGCATGTGCGCCAACAATGTCAACTGTAAGCTGCTAAAAGAGAAGCTTTCTGGCTAGGCCAAACCCTTCACTGCTGGTTTTTTTTTTTTTAATCTTTCTGTCTTTCCAGACAATAGTGTTAGACTGTGACATGAAGAGGCATGGGACACAGTCTATGGTGATTGTGAGTATGACTAGTAAGACCCACCCGCATCACCAAAAGTCTTCCACAGTTATAACATGGGATTTCAGGACCGTTGCTGCCATCATATGTGTGTTTCTTCTCAGACGCTCAGCTCTCATTCTTTCTCAGTCAATTCTTCATTCATTCTCAATCCCTTCCTGATTTGTCCCCTCTATGCAAGATGGTTCATGGCATTTTTATTCCTGCGAATCTACTTCAATACCTGTATCATTCATGTCCTGTTTGCTCACATCTTTATATTTAAGACCTTCCTAGTCTTGCTTGAAATACAGCACTCTTTTTCTTCATAACTGTTATTGTATGTCTGGGTTGTCGAGGACAACATTTTGGGGGACTTTTGAGTTTGACACACTCATAGCATACATGCCAGCACTTTATCAGCTGGGTCTTCTTCTTTCTTTTGTCTTCTCACCGATACCAGGTTGTAGTCCAGTGTCGTTGTTTCTGTATTTGTTTTGTGCATCTCTGGTATCTTGGGTGATGGATTTGTTCATTTGCAGTTTGGCCTGGCTGCATTCTCACTAGAGGGTTGAAACATTTCAGGCTTTGTCTGTCAATACAATCTATACACAGTCTTATTCCTCTCTAATGCTGGTATTTGTAACCCTGTCTCTTCTTGTGTTGTCAGTGACCTTGCGAAGACAAAGCATTTCACACAGTTATTTCTGTTCTGTTTTTCCTTCACCATTATGATTATGAAAAGGGCTGACTGGCACATATCACTGTAGTTTACAGCTAGGCAGTTACATACGTGCCTTTCGGCCCAACTTGCCTTACAACATATTTATTAAGAAACAGTGGGTCTATTAACCCCCCCCCCCCCCCCCCTTTCCCAGTGAAATGGGACCCCAGAAAAAACACAGATACAATAAAATCACAAACAAAACAGCTAGCAACTTATCTGTGCCTATTTTGTGAAACCTTTGAAAATAAAGTTTGTTTGTTCGTTCGCTCGTACTCACTTCAACAATGGCATCAATTGTCTGCGGCATGTCGGTGATGATGCCATCTGTCAGAATCAGCAGGACAAAGTAGTGGGAGCCATCCTGGCATGCTTGAGCAAATCTACGTCAGAGATACGACACAGTAATTTTTATGTCCTCATTAAAAAAAACTGTCATGTGAAACAAGTGTCTGCTATCTTCTACATATAATAAGAAGAAATAAAAAAGGAATCAAAAAGAACAGGAAAAGCCCAAACCATTTTCAACAATATGAGGAAAATACTGACATCTAATGGGATAAATCAGCATCTGTTGCTCAGAGGCTATCAAAGCGATATATAATCCCAAAATATTCAGTTCGATTCAGCTATAGGCAATTTGGCAGAAGACTGCTTCAGGTTGATTTCAACAATGTATGGAGAGTCAGCCATTCAGAAAGTAATAGCAAATTACTGAACATAGTAAAACCAAAAACAGCCAACATTTACTGGGGTTGGTTTTTGAAGGATATGTAACAAAACTGTTAACAGAGATTAACAACATATTAAAAATGAAAATTGTCAAATGTTATGTAAATTCAACCTTATTTTATGGTTCACAATCTGGACAATGAGCAAGCAGGTAGTTGAAGTAAGGGCCCGAAGATTTGGATATACAAAAAAAAAGGTTTTATTTCATAAAAATAAAATCAAAATAATTAAAATCATAAGTTCTGGAGAGATTTGAAAAAGAGCTGTTAAAAGAAAATAGAAAGGGACACACACATATTTTAGCCACATAAAAAATATAACGTTCTTAAAATCAATACTCAAGAGAGAAATTTAAGGCAACCTATCAAAAGGTAGATACTAAAAATGAGGAAAAAAATATGAGATGGCTGAAGAGCAGTCCAAAAGTGTGCACAAGAGTGTATAACAGCCAAGATACATTGTGGAGACCACATCCTGACTGACTGAAATATGGGCTCACCTCCACTCTGCTTAAATGCAAAAGAAACAAAAGAAAATGTCAACTTTTCAAAAACATAGTCTAAAAATGAGATAAAGGCTAAATCTGCATAACAAAGACAAAAATAAAATAAAACTACATTAAGAAAAAAAATGAAATATGAATAAACTACAATCATTCATTAATTAGGACATACAGACTATACATACCGAAACTAAATGACAGAACAGACATGCTTAAAGTCAAATTGAACAATAGACTAGAGGTACTGAAGCTGAACAATAGACTAGTGATGCTGAAACTAAAACTGAACAATAGAAGAGAGATGCTGAAACTGAACAATAGAACAGGGATGCTGAAACTTAAACTGAACAATAGAATAGAGATGCTAAAATTGAAACTGAACAACAAAATAGAGATGCTAAAACTGAACAATAGAATAGAGTTGCTGAAACTGAATAACAGAATAGAGATGCTGAAACTGAACAACAAAATAGAGATGCTAAAACTGAAAATGAACAACAGAATAGAGGTACTGAAACTGAACAATAGAACAGAGATGCTGAAACGGACAACAGAATAGAGATGCTAAAACTGAAACTGACTAATAGAATAGAGGTGCCAAAACTGAATTTGAACAAAAGAATAGAGGTATTGAAACTGGACAATAGAATGGAGATGCTGAAACTGAACAATAGAATAGAGCGATGAAAAGTTGCCAGATCATAGAAGAATGCTGCCTCTTTAGATTCCATGCTTTGCTTCATAGATGGCATTTTTTGTGATGGTCATAACAAACTCAGTCTCATTACTTAATTGTTGGACCTTGTAGAATAGATATGCTGAAACTGAACAATAAAACAGAGATGCTGAAACTCAACTATAGAACAGAGATGTTTCAAGAGTTTTACATAATAGAGATCCTGAAATGGCACTGACAATCATGTATATGATGAAACAACAGAATGGACAGATATTTTTAATATGTACCTTCTGACATGGTTAATAACTGGTGCAAAATTGGTTGGTCCGTACAGCTGAACTCTGGGCAGAGCTGCATGATAAGCCTGCAGGATTCCCCCTACTCCCTGGCAGTAAGGGTTCGATGGATTGAAATTCTGAAAAAAGTATACAGGTATCTTAGTCTATATTGCTGTCAGAAAGAAGAAAAAATGTTGGTTACCTTTTTTTTTTGCACCAGCATACAGCCACAGTATGATGACGTACAACAAGATTCTTCTTCTTAAAGTCCATGCTGTGTGGCCTTGAGGGTCATGTATATCTACAACCTTCTGTCTTGTGTACTTTCAACCAACTCTGACACATGATCCTCCATGCCGTGATGTCAAACTGTCCAGCATCTGTTCTCTCGATCTCCCTCTGCCTATCCTTCCTTCCAATTTCCTACTGTCACGATGTACTCCAGTTTTCTCCAGAACGTAGATTGTCTCCTTCTGATGTGGGCAATCAGTTCTCTTTGTTAGTCAGTTTTTCTCAAGATGTCTTCATTACTCCTTTTGCCTGTCCAGGGTATTCTCATCATTCGTCCTTAAACCCACATCTCCACAGCTTCCAAATCAGTTTTCACTAATTCACTAACAGTCCATGATTGGCTTCCATTTATCAATATAGGATTTATATAGCTTTTAAGAATTCTCTTTCTCATCTCGATTGACACAGAAAGATTGCATAGAATATACAAACAAGATTACATAATTTTTAATTCTTGCAGATTGTTGTTCTCCATTCAGTTTGGTGTAAAATGCAAAATATGATGAGTTTATTTTAAATAGCTGTGAAGCTAAGGCCTTTTTGTTAGTCTATTTTGCTGTCAGAAGAAAAAAAATTGATTTTTCGGTTACCTTTTTTTCACCAATTTACAGCCATATTATGATGATGCACAAGATTACATGATTTTTAATTCTTGGAAATTGTTCTCCATTTAATCTTGTGCAAAAATACTAAATATTATGAGTTTATGTCAAATAGTTGTGAAGCTATAGCATTTTTAGTGGACACTAAAATATGTGGTATCTGGGAAACTGCAAGGTTAAACGGCTTGGTATTCAGTAGGTTTAGACTAAATTATGATGTAAAACATTACAAGACCCCCTTAGAATGTAAACATGTTAAGACTCCACTATGATGTAAAACATTACAAGACCCCCTTAGAATGTAAACATGTTAAGACTCCACTATGATGCAAAACATGACAAGACAACATACTAAAGACTAAATAATGATGTAAAACATGAAAAGACCCCATCTGAATGTAAACATGTTAAGACCCCATTATGATGTAAAACATGACAAAATTCCCTTAGAATGTAAATATGTTAAGACCCCATTATGATGTAAACATGACAAGATGCCATACATCATTATGATGTAAAACATGAAAAGACCCCATTTGAATGTAAACATGTTAAGACCCTATTATGATGTAAAACATGACAAGATCCCCTTAGAATGTAATCACGTTAAGACCCCATTATGATGTAAAACATTACAAGACTCCCTTAGAATGTAAACATGTTAAGACCCCATTATGATGCAAAACATGACAAGACTCCCTTAGAATGTAAATATGTTAAGACCCCATTATTATGTAAACATGACAAGACCCCATTAAAATGTAAACATGTTAAGATCCCATTATGATGTAAAACATGACAAGACCCAATTAGAATGTAAAGATGTTAAGACCCTATTAGGATGCAAAATATGACAAGATCCCATTAGAATGTAAACATGTTAAGACCCCATTATGATGTAAAACATGGCAAGACTCCAGTAGAATGTAAACATGATAAGACCCCATTATATTGTAAAACATGGCAAGATCTCATCAGAAAGTAAACTTGACAAGACCCGTATATTGTAATTATATCAAGTCCCCATTAAACTGTAAACATGACAAGACCCGATTAGAATGTGGACATAAAAAGACCCCATCAGTATGTCAGCATGCTTAAATTAACATTTCTTATGATGGCTTTAGTAGTTTAATGCTGTTGATTTACTTTGGTTTTTACAATTTTTCACACAGACACACACATACTCAATATTAGTTTCACAAAACTGTTGTGGGGTCAAGGAACATTATATCCAAAGTATATAGTATTCAAAAACTCCCTGTGTGGGTTCCGGGACCCAGGTTTATTGGGTTCAGGGAGGGGGTGGGCCTAACTGCCCCCTCCACCCCACCACCCCTTAGGAAGCATGTCATAAAAGGCAAGCGATTAGAGGGGTTTTTCTGAAAATGGATGTGCTGGGTTAAAATATAACCATGTTAGTTAGTTAGTTGACAGATTACCCTCACTGCACATCAAATCATTCAGGTCATAAGTACTCAGATCCCCTCCTTAGTAAATCCTGCGGTGTGTAGAGGCTCATGACAACAGTTCTGTGTTTTTCTCATTCTTCTTTGGCTTCCTGCATGGTGAACTTGTATGGTCACAAACCTTTTAACATGTTATTATTTCAGTCTGGTCACTGTTGCAGATTCACAGTCATCACTTGGTTCTCGCAAACATCTTACTTCTCGTAGAGCATTCAAAATATCAGCATGGTCCATGGCTCGTCCGCCCTACACAGCAGCTTTACCTGCTTTAAGCAGCTGCAGGGTACCCCTATTTGAGCCTAGCCATAATCAGCAACACAACATGCCAACCATCCTCTTAACTCTCCAAGTTTCTAGAAACTCGCTATGCATTTAGTAATAACCATGTATATGGTACAGGTTTCTTTATTTCTTTAGTACCAACTTTCTGTTATCTTAATCCCTGCTCATACATTAACCCAATATGTCCCATAGTTTGTATAATTCTTCTTCTACTTCGCTTTCACCAGCTTTAAACTCCGGCAGAAAGCTCTGGTTGTTCGTCCACTTCTGGACTCTAGCCCTGTTCCAGAAAATGAGTGTTGCGTGCACATCGGTTTCACAGGTCTGACGCATTTGCATGCAGACTGTATGTTCCTAGACTCTCAGGCAGATGTACCCCGACTCTGAAGGAAGCAACCATTTAGTCGACTCTTACGACATGCTTTTGGGCAGGCAGTGGGTCTATTCTTGTTTTCCCCATAATGGGGCACCGTAACCCACATGGAGAGTTTGCATAATTATAGCTCATTAACTCTCAATGATATTTTGTTTAAAGTGTACACACTGTGTGCATGAAATCTGATTAAGTAACAACTACCTGGGACTAAAAGAGTTGAAGGCAAACACAGGAAAAGGAATATTTAAAAATGACTTACCACTGCAAACTCATGTAAGGCGGCACCACTTCCATCAATTCGAGCACCAAACCCAAGAACTGGAAACATTTTGTCGCTAAAACATGAAATCTGAGTTCAGTTTTAAAATCAAGAACTTCACTGAAAACACGAAATATACACTCACTGATTTAGTCTAGCTCAGTTTTTTTTCATCTGGTCAAACAGGGAACAGATTTTAAACTCTTTCAGTCCCACATATGTATTTCTTTTCACTCATAATTTGCCGGGGAGTCGCTGTGGTCTAGCGGCTAGATGCTCGCCTGCGGATCAGAACGTCAACAGTGCGATTCCAGGCGGGGACCGGATTTTCTTCTTCAAAAAATGACCTTGGCTCCCAGGTGGACCCAGCCTTGAGTGGGTACAGGTACAGTCCTGGAAAGTAAAGGGCAGCCGGCATGATGCTGACCACATCACCCACCAAGTGTTGTTTGATCTATAAAATCTAGGTCTAGTCCTATATATGGAATATACCTGAAGGTGTGGAACCAGTCCTTTACTTTACTTACATAATTCCACCAGCTATATCTGCTTAAAGCAAAAAGTGTTGTAGGTCTGAATAGGTTTGGAACAGGTTTGCAACAAAAGGTACTGAAGAAAAATTTTGATAAAATGGATTAAAGCTTTAACTGGGAAGATTACAAGGCACCCAGAAATGCATATCACATCGGCCAGTTTCAATAAACGCAAAACACAAATGTTGCCAACAATGATCCTCAAATCCCATGCTATAATTGAGGAAGACTTTTCTTAATGCGGGCGGGTCTTGCTAGTCACACTCACCATCGCCATGGGCTGTGAGTGCCATGCCTCCTCAAAGTGCAATATAACACTACTGTCTGGAAAGACGGAAAGGTGCCAATCGTCAATCATATATGTGTATATATATATAACTAAAATATAATTCATTCATGCAGGAGGAGAAGCCATGTCCATATCTACCATTCACTGTGCAAAAAAGATCTGGAACGGTGACATTTGGCGTAAAGTTTGGGGAGAAATATATATATATATACATCCCTCTCTCAAAGGAAGGAAATCTGAAACTATGCTTTAACTATTGTACCATCTCATCAATAAAATCCTATTATGAATTTTAATGTAGAGGATTGAAAGGAAACTATGTTATGAGCTACATGAAGTATAAGCGGGTTTCAGACAGGGTAGAGGAACAAAGGATCACATCTTTAATACGAGAAAATCTTTAAAAATGTAGAAAATACAACACAGATTGCTAGTTTCACTGACTGTAGAAAGGTCTTTGAGTGTGTCCATAATCAGAAATTTTGCAGTATCATGGGAAGTATGGGGTTTCCAGCAAATCTGGTGCATTTAATTGAAAATTTATATCATGAACAAAAAGCAGCCATCAGAGCAGCTAGGGAAATTTCAGATTGCTTCAAGGTGAAAAAGGGGGTGAGGCAGGGGTGCATTCTCTCACCATACCTATTCAATAAATCTGCAGAAAGCCTAATGAGAAATGTCAAAAATGAGCAGACTTGTGAGAGTTTTGATCCACTCATAATTGGTGGCAACCCTATTCCGGAACTTCACTATACAGATGACACGGTCCTCCTTTCAAAGAATGTAAATGGAACAGAAGATTTAACCAAGTCTGCCCAAAAGCAAAGTGAAGACCAAAAGCTATTTCTTGAATTTAAAGAACAAAATATAATGTCCACAGACAAACCTGGATGTCACCCAAAAATAACATTAAATGATGAAGAAATAGAAAATATCACAAACTTTCAATATCTAGGATCCATAACAAATAGCAATGGAGACTGTTTAACAGAAGTCAAAAGGAGGATGGCCATAACAATACAAAGATTAAACTGCATTAAAAGTCAATGGTTAAGCAACAGCAAGGAAATCAATGTTAAAATTTTGAGAGCATGCATCTTCCCTGAAACAACATAGGGACGTGAGTCACAGACTTTATCCAAGCCCTTAATGGAAAAAAAATAGGGGCTTTTAAGCTGAAATTCTATAGAAAGATTCTCAGAATACCAGTGACAAAGAAGAGAAGAAATACTGACATCCTAAAAGATCTGAACATCAAGGAAGACTGGTAATAAACAGAATCTTGTCTCGAAAGCTGAAATATTTTTGTCATTTCAAGCACCATGGCAGACTGGAAAAATTTTAGCAGAAGGCATGGCACCAGGAAGCGGGGACAGAGGCCGACCAACACGAAGATGGGTACAGGATATAAGTGACTCCTTGAATATGAAAGTACATCAGGTGGGAGAGCTGGCAAAGGACTGAGTTTCTTTCAGGAAAACTGTGATGAGCGTGATGTTCTGCAAAGAACCTGATACATGATTATGACTCAAAAGGTATGGGTTCATGGCAACAGATCTTCAAAAATCTTGTATGTGGGGTCTGCATAGTTTAGCTTACTGAGAACAACTGCTCTAGAGGATACACACAACAGCCTGCTCTTGCTTACTTGTTTCTCTCACCTGTCATAGTCCTGAATGATCTCCCCTACTGCCTGGATTGCGGTGGCGTACTGATTCGGCTGGTAAGGGTTCATAAAATGGAGAGAAGTTGACTGTGTGGGGTTTCCATTAGAGGCTGTGAAATCTATTGCCACTGTGAAATTCATCTGCATTCTGTAATTGCACAGGAGAACTTCAAAGAAATGTTAAAGTTCCTATCCAGTAGCAAAGAACAGACTACTGCTATTCTACATTTTGCAGTCAGTCTGGGTTGTGCTATATCTGCAGTTTTGTTGCCAAGAAGTCTTTTTTTTTTTTTTTTTAAATCAAGGATGCCAAATTTTAGGCTTTGTCCTATACCCTCTGATCATATCATATCTACCAGCAAATACAATCTTCTTCTTCTACCTCTTTTGCATATTATTTTCATACACACAACTAATTTTCAATGATCACTTCTATTTTAATAGAGATAACAAAAAATCCTGAAATGACTTATAAATCAGTGCACAGAAAGCGGAAATACAGACCAAAAACAAACACAGAAGAGAATAAAAGAATAAGATAAAGTGAATATATGGGTGAGCTGAATGCAATAGCAAAAGATAGGGCGGCCTGATGATTTGGCTAAAAAACCTTTACTCCATAGGGAGATAAAACGCAGAAGAAAAAAATCAGACATCCTGACACAAAAACATACCAAAATGTATTGCAACAAGGATATAATATTCTTAAAGCCACAGAAATCAGACTTCATAGAAAGTTGAAAAATGGTATAAAAAATATTATCAAAATGTTTTAAAAGAGGTAAAGGCATAAAAGAAACATATCACAGACATCATTAAGTGACTGTTATCTATTTGTGATCACATTTCAAAAGGAAAATATGCCTTTACAATTTATATAACAGCTAAGTGGTGGTAGAATGACTTCAAGTTTTGTTTTTGGCAAAAATAGATCATTTTAGGATCTGAAATAGCAGACCTGACATCTTCCCTACTTAAAAAAGGACTACATAAAGAAAAACCATGATAACTTTTTTGCACATTCACAATACAGATTCAACTGGAAATAAAACAGAGCCACCTGAACAGACCCCTGATCCAGTTTGAATATTTATTTATTTTTTTTAAATCAAACAGACCCCTGACCAATTTTGGAATATTTATTTAAAAAAAAAATTAGAATATAACATCTCTGATTCTGGTATACACCCAAGTGACAAATCATCAGTTCTGCAGCATTTGTGCACTGCACCGATTCTCCTTATTTGATCTATTGGATGAACAAACAAATGAACAACGTTTACTTTCAAAGGGTTAAGAATTTGGCATGCAGGCTCATCTTACATTCTGCCCTTATAGCCTGACTCCTTTCATATTTTCTTCCATTCATGCAACATTTTATTCATACATAATTTTATTCATACATTGATCAATTGCTATCGGAGGTGACTAGAGCACTTATGAACATATTTATGTGTGTAAAGAAAGTTGTTTTTTAACAAAACTAAACAAACAAACAAACAAACAAAACTAACAACTGATACAATGAATGAAAATAAAAGTACTGAAAAGCAGATACTGAAGGTTCAGAAGAAACTTACATTATGGATATAAAAACATAAACATAACCAAATATTAAAGTTATAGGCTAAAGTGGAGAGAATCAGTTTCATTGCACCAGGTTTTATCCCATATGGCTTGGTTTCTCTCCACAGATAGGCTAGCTGCCTGCCAAGAGCACCGCAGAGAGCACAAACTCTATAGCTCATGAGACAATCCCCACGGATATCTGTAAAAATGCAGTTGTACACAGAACGGTACAGCTGTTAAACAAACCCACGACCTTCAGAGCGTGAAGCAAATGACCAGTTCGCCACAGAGATCCCCTGAAATAGTCTCCCTCGGCCTTTGACTCCACTAGCAAGCCACTACCCGCTCAGCTACAGAGCTCTCTCAATCACAGTCAATGCTCTGTTGACTAGACCAGTGGTCGGCAAATCGCGGCTCGCGGCCGCTATGGCTCGTTAGCGACCTGTTGACTAGACCATTAGGCCTCACATCGGTTTTGACTTCAAAAAACATGGTTCTTGACATGTTCTTGAAAAGAAATTTGGCTCTTCAAACCAATTTTAATCGTCCTGCTGCTGATTTTTTGGCTCTTTTGACTAGTGAGTTTGTCGACCATGATGGATACTGATGAGTTCCTGATGCTAGCCTGTCTATATGACTCGGGAGTAAAGTCTGGACAAACATGTCAAATGTCTTTTTAAAGGTCAGAGGTCAAGTGAGGAGACATAAAAATCTTATAGAAACAGTGGGCACAGGTACTTTCTGATAGTGCTGCTGCATCCCAGGACTGAGCAAGCAAAGAAATGTCCAATGTACAGTGACATCAACTGTGATGAGATAACATACCAAATTGCTGAAGAACAAGAGCTCAGCCAGTCTGCAGGACACTTGATGACCATGATAATGCCTTGTTAATTATTAGAATTATAAAACTTCTCATACCTATCCATTATTAGAATGTTAAACAATACGGAATATAATATGTTTTCATTTACGAGGCAGAACAGAAAAAGGACTGACACTGACCCTCCTTTGATGAAATCTAAAAATGAGTACTGTGGCTGGATTTTGCAGCTGATAACTTGAATCTGAAAAACACAGAACAAAATTGGCTATAATTTATCAACTCAACTATCAACACCTCAACTGCAAGTGGTCTTTAACCTATCATCTTTTCATACGCACTTCAATCTTGTATCCATTATTTAGTCAGTCTCTGGAACTAATTACCATGTCCCTCACCCATTATCAATTGATCTTCTTACTCTAAGTATAATTCTCTATATCAGTCTATTCTATAAGTTTATATTTCCACCCATTATCAATCCATTCTTTATTCATATAAATCTTTTACCCATAATTATTCCTTTATAAGGGGTATAATCTTGTATCCATTATCAATCCATCTCCTAAATGTGAGTATAGTTCTGAATATCAGTCTATTACCTAAGTTTAATTATCTGCCCATTATTTATCAGGGGAGCCGCCGTGGTCTAGCGGCTAGACGCTTGCCTGCAGATCAGAAGGTCGTGGGTTCGGTTCCTGGCGAGGGCCGGAATTTTGTCAAAAATGACCTCGGCTCCCAGCTTGACCCAGCCTTCAGTGGGTACCAGGTACAGTCCTGGGAAGTAAAGGTGGCTGGCGGGATGCTGACCACATCATCCATCAAGAGCCGTCTGGTCAATAAAATATAGGTCTAGCCCTATATACCCAATTGGCCTGAAAGGTGTGGAAAAGAGACCAAGATTATTTATCTATCTTCTATCTGCGTACATCTTTTATCCATTATCACTCCATTATCTGTTGGCATAATCTTGCACTCATTTTGAATTCTCTATTAGTATGATCTTTTACCCATTATCTGGCTATGATTGCAAAATTTAATGGAGGAAGAAGTATGGCCACGGCAGACATAATGAATGTGCTAGGTTGCAGAGCTGCCGAGACAAAGGAGTTGCAGGCGATGAACCACCTGCTGAAAATGGGTATTAAATGAAGGCAAGCATGCAGAAACTGGGTGCAGGGTAAAGAAAGAAGATATGCCAGTCAACTCTTGAGTAGGTTGAACATAAAGACACTAAGATGAATGCTGCATCAGAGGACAGAGCATGAAGGTAAGCATACAATGTGGTAGAGAATGCTGATACAAGCAACAAGTAACCCATTATCCATCCATCCTCTATCAGTATACTCTTATAGCCGGCATCTATTTGTCTGTGTCTGTAGCTCAGAGGGCAATAAACATGGTTCTTAATTATGAAATACCCTGTACGGTTCAGTAGCAGAAGATTTGGCAGCAATCAGATGGATCACCACAGTCTGATGAGATTGATGCAGTTGGGGGTGACGAGAGGTTCTGGCAGAAGCTCAAGGCTCAGAGGAAAGGCAAGACGGACATTAAATCAGAAAGCTACTGGCACCATTAGTATCGGAACTCCTCGCTGGCTGCTGAAGATGGGGACGGAGCGCTTATGGGAATGCCCCGAATGCTGTGATGTCGGTTGTTGAATCAAATCAAATCAAATGGCAGTGATTCAAGATACTGTTCACTCAAAGGATGTGGTTATTTATAAAGATGGTTCAGTGTCAAGAGGCAAAAGTAGTGATGGGGTTTCTTAGCAAAAGTTAGTGGTCGACGTTTGGGGCAGGAGAGTCTAGCATGGAGGTGGTCACTGCAGTTTTCCACTGGTTAGAGAACACTATGATGCACAGATACATCCTGATTGTAACTGACTCAGAAAGCATGCTGAGGCAGGTCAAGACAGGCATCCTTCGTGCAAAGTGGCATCCTTCGTGCAAAGTGGCATCCTTCGTGCAAAGTGGCATGCTTTGTGCAAAGTGGCATGCTTCGTGCAAAGTGGCATGCTTCGTGCAAAGTGGCATGCTTCGTGCAAAGTGGCATGCTTCGTGCAAAGTGGCATGCTTCGTGCAAAGTGGCATGCTTCGTGCAAAGTGGCATGCTTCGTGCAAAGTGGCATGTTTCGTGCAAAGTGGCATGCTTCGTACAAAGTGGCATGCTTCGTGCAAAGTGGCATGCTTCGTGCAAAGTGGCATGCTTCGTGCAAAGTGGCATGCTTCGCTGCATAGGTCACAGGTGAGGAGTATTGTCTGGATCTTTTCTCTGGATACGCCGGTGTGTTGGGAAATGAACAGGCAGACAGACTGTCGGCTGTGCATAACTTGGTGGAATATTGGTGCATGATAAGGCAGATGTGGTTACGGCCGTGTGGGAGAGCGTATACAATTCGGAGGAGCAAATGCATCACTACAGTCTGGTGAGAGGGATGCAGCAGCGAGTGACAAGGGTTCTGGCTAATGTTCAACACTCAGAGGAAAGGCAAGACGGACGTTTAATCAGAATGCTACTGGCAATATTGGCACTGAAGCTCTGTGCTGGCTGCTGAAGATGGGGACGGAGCGCTTTTTTTTGGGGTGCTTTTTGAATGGTCTGCTGTCAATCCACACTTCTATTTTTAAAAATCCCCACATGTAACACTTAGCAGCAAGGGTAGTACAGCAGTTAGCCTGAATAACAAGCTGACAAACTGAGAAACTAATAGCTGTCAACAAAGGTTTCTGATAAAAATGATACCATCAATGGACAGAAACCAGAAAGAGGCAGTCCTTTAAGAAACAGACGATCTTCTTCTTTCTTCTTCTTTGTTTACTGGCTGTAAGCTCTAGGTTAGAATCAAGTCTAACTTATACCACTTATCCCGGACGAGCCCCCAATTGTAATATGTGGTGTTTATATTTCTCGTTGTCTAGGTGGTGTTCATGAGTGTGTCGTGAATGTTCTTCTCACACACTCCACGTTACATAACTGGTACAAGCCGACACCTATGTAAGCTTACGAGACACAAGTTTATTGGCATATTGACACTTACAGCAACGTCCAGTTGTTGTCCTAATCACAGCTCTCGCATACCAATTCACGCTACCTTCAACGAGCAGTTTCTTCAAGCATTCACTGACCAAAATCGGCTTCCATCAGTTCAGTTGAGGTTCTGGTCATTAAACAGACTGGCATGGTCGATCTTGGCTTCACACTTCATCGTCAGGGTCTCCTTTCTCAACAAGCACTCTTACGTTGACATTCTCACGTTCAGTCGCACATCCTCTCGCTCCAACAGGTCGACACAAACTAAACTTGGTCAGAATCAAGTCTGACTTATACCACGGGTTAGTTTCACGTGGCAACACGTGGTGGTCCTTTACTTTCACGTGGCGACCTTTGGTCGCATCATCGTAGTACCTGTGATAACAAGTGGTCATCACCTATCTCAAGATTCTCGTTTAATCCGAGTATCTGGAATATCTCTGTGTTTTAGGTCAGCTTTGGGCCTTCCCCCCAACCATCCTAATCTGGGTGAAAATATCCCCCATTACATGGTTGTTCATCCATTTGGACTGTGGCTTTGTGCCAGGCCCGAGTTTTGCGTGTACATTCATTTTACTGGCTTATTTGAGTGCAATTGGTTGTTCTTTGCCTTTCGGGCAGATGCACTTTGACTTCTAAGGAAGCCCCCAATTAGATGGGCAGCAATGGCTATTGTCATTCTGTGTCGATGCAGAAGCTTTTTATTGTCATCAATCCATTTTCTCTTCTCCTAGGGCGGCCTCTTGCTTTCATTTCAGACCTTTTCATGTGTAGCGCCCGCATTGGTAGTTGTTCTGGCTGCCTTCTTAGTAAATGACCAAACCATTTGATCTTCTGTTTCTCAATGAATTTGCTGCCTGGTGTTGTTCCTACAGTCTGTCTGATAATATAATTTCTAACTTTGTCTCGGATGGCTAAGTTGACGGCCTTTCTCAGGCATCTCATTTCGCTGGTGTTCATTTTAGGTAAGAGCCTATGATAATGTCCAAGTCTGGCACTGGTAGCACAGTTTTGGTATGAATATGCTGTTTATAATGACGGAGATAAATAATATTTGGACAGTCTGACAACAAGGCTAGACCATAGGGCTGATGAGATACTATAGTGATTGCGTGAGATAGTGAACAAATTACACCATTTTTTCTTCGCTTAGTATGAGACACCAATAATTTTACCTCTCCTGAATCTTTGTAATTCTTTTTCTTTGCTTTTTTCTTTGGGTTAATGAGCTGAAAAACAATAGATGCTGTAAATTACCTCTCCTGAATCTTTGTAATTCTTTTTCTTTGCTTTTTTCTTTGGGTTAATGAGCTGAAAAACAATAGATGCTGTAAATTATAGGAAACATTCATGTATGTTTATACATATTATATCTCATGGTCAAAACATAAAAAATGGCAGGAAAACATCAATGCACAAAATTCTTGCATTTTTACTTAGACTTCAATATAAGTTTCTACTCCTTCTGCATTCTCCTTTAAAAGGGAGTTTAATGCGTTGTGTTGTGGGTTACAGCTAGGCTGCAATATCTGCCCCTTTCTGTCCAACACATCCGATGTCAACAAACCATAGTTGCTTTTACGACATGCTTGTTATGAAGGGAGGAGAAGAGCAGTGGATCTATTCCCAAAAAGTTAGGTCCCTGAACCAGGATCATCTTTTGGCTGGCCTGTAGACGACTCTGTCCTCGATCGAGAAAGTATTTAGGTCTGTCTCTTTTGACAGCATCAACACTGCAAATAGACCTTTTCAAGACTACTTAGTGGTGAGCAATGCTAAGCCATTTTACATGGTGCACATAATATAGTCACAATTATAACCATAAGCTCTCCCTTCAGGGATGCTGGCTGAACGTTTTTTTTTTTTTTTTCGCAAATCAAGGAAGGGAGTCAGGAAGGAGCATGGGAGATACGTTTAGGAGATAATCTTGGAAGCTATGTTAGTGCACAAACACTAGGATGTGCAGACTGCCTTTAACCAGTGTTGCTAAGACCAGAATTGTGCTGGAAAAGTTATGTGTAGGAGATAGTCTTGTAGAATGTATTTTTACAGAACTTTGTCAACTGAGTTCACTTTGATCCTTCACCAAACAGACAAATAATGATCAAAGTAGAGGCCTGAATAATGATGATAAACTTACTTCTAGCTATTTCACCTGAGGTTGTAGGTGTGGTTAAATGAGAACATTCAATTCTACTTACTTCTAGCTATTTCACCTGAGGTTGTAGGTGTGGTTAAATGAGAACATTCAATTCTAAACATCAAGTCAATACTTCTGTATGATTTAGAACATGAACGACTGAAACAGTTGCCAATGAACTACAAACATTCCTTACTCAGAGACTGATGACTGCACATAATAAGAATAAAATGTTATGATAGAACTAGATAAATTACAAATCAAAAGTTGAGGAAATTACACTGATATTGGGTAGAACAAATATATATATATATATATATATATATATATATATATATATATATATATATATATATATATATATATATATATATATATATATATATATATATATATACACACATATATATATTATATATATATATATATATATATATATATATATATATATATATACACACACACAGAATCTTGAACTGGAACCTTGTTCTACTTTTTAAATGACTACAGCTCTAACGTTAAAAAAAAAAGAATTTCAACAGAACCTCCCCATGCGGGCTCCAGGGGTGGGGGGGGGGGGGGGGGGGGGAGGACTTTCTTTGAATTCAGAGAACATCTGCCTAAGAGGTAGGGATTCAAAAGTCTTAACATAAATAAGACAGATCTTTCAAATGGCTGTGCAGGCAACACTCAAGTTACGGGCCAAGAAGTGAGCCAACAACCAAAACTTTATGCCGGGGTTTACCGTTGGTGAAAGCGAATAGGAAGAAGAACAAAAACATGCTGATCTTACCTCAAAGTTCCTAGAACATTGGCCAGATTGAAGCAGCTCTCTCAGGTTCGTGGAAAACTCGCCAATAAAATCATGGCTTTGGAAAAAAGTATGCATGGTCGATTAGAAAATGCAGTGGTACAGGTTAATGGCTCATTTGTAAGCTTACAAAGAACTTCTTATATCAATGGACTTAATTCTGCCTTCAGAAATGTTTATTACTCTTTTCAATTAATCTACAACTTTTACTTTACTTGTATCTCTCCTCTCTAAATAGAGCATAAACCAGCTTACTCCCACCAAACTCACAGTAGACCTTTCTCTAGCTGGAACTATTTAAATATTATTTAATTACCAACTACATGCCCCTTAAAAGATAACAACATATTAAGCATACTGTAAATTTCCCTTAGACTGATTACAGTTATTATACTCAGTATTTTTACTGTTGAGAAATGTAAGTATAATTAGAGCACATTCCAGCATATTATTTAGACTCAGATGTTGTTGATGATGTTCACTATTCTGCTGTTTGTTTGTTTGTTTGTTTTAGTATCCAGAAGCCATGAGTTGTTAACCCTTAGGCTCGGTATTATGGATATCGCAACCTTTCGGCCTTGATTCCTCTGTAAATACCGTAGATCTGGGAGAAATTTGGCTTTTCTGCCTACCCCCGGGAGTTAACCCGGACCACAACGAGTTCGTCACCCGGTCACAACGTAATCTGGTTTAGCCACCTACGCTAGAGAGCCGGGCTCTACTATTATCTATTAAATGATGTATGAATTAAATAACTTACATAAGGAGTGAGGCAGAAGGGCAGAATGAAAAAAAAAGCCTGTCTGCCCAATTCTTTACCATTGAAAGTTCATTCACTGTTCCTCTGTTTGTTGGATATTGCAACTGCAGTTAATATTTACAGTGTAAAGTCAGACTGACAGCAACTCCTTTATTCCACCTTCTTCTAGGTCTTTCTTTGTACCCTGGTATTTTCCTTTTGATGTTGTACACTATCACTGCTGTCATTTTTTGATTCATTCTTATTAGGTGGCCAAACCATTTCTGTTGTTGTTTCTCAATGAATTTACCAATTGGTGTGTGGGTGTCTGTGGCTTAGGTGTGACAAAGGCACTTTATGTCTAGCACTAGATGTCTGATGCACTCAGAGCACAAAAAGGGTCTATTATTCTTTTTTTTTTTTTTAAAGCTAATTGTGGAGACTATACTTACCCACCGTCAGAGTCCCAGTCGTAGCACTCCACCTTGACCGATCTGTCAGAATAGAGAGTTTATTAAAACATGATCTAGTTAATTCCTGAGCTTGTACTCTTTACAAAAAGACAACTGAACTCTGCAAGAAAGCCTGGGTGTCTCTGTGTACAATATGTTAGGGTGTTTATCTTTCAGCAATCATATACTGTTTATGTACATCCAACATTTTACCTTAGCTATGAGAGGGCAGCCAAATGGCTAAGCGCATGCAGCAAACCCAGGTTCAAATTAGTAAGGATGTGGATTGTTTCTGTGAGTGGGAGGGGGCAGAAGTAGAAAAATAAAGCACAGTCCATGAGCCATGGAGCCTAAAGCCTCAGGGCCCAAAGGCCCCACCCATTCCCCCCCCCCCCCCACAAACCATAAAGACAGATGGGAGCTGTCATGGCAGAAGTCAACCTCCCCAAAGATGGAAAAAGGACTCTGAGGATGTATTGGCAGTGAAAGCACACGATGCTGGAAAGCTGGCTAGGGAAAGGAAGTACTTTCAGGCATGCCATGGAGAGAGTGATGTTCTGTAAAGGACTTGCTGATTGATGATGATGGCATACTGGCTAGAATGCTTGCCTGCTGGTCTAGCAATGTTGTGCGCAAATCCCAATCACAGTGTAGATTTTTTTTTTTTTCACCGGCCTGGACTTCCAAGTTTACCTAACTAAATGGATAGCCAGAAATGTTCTGGGAATATAGATCTGTTGTTGGCAAATTTCCATATCTTCAGGTGATATAGCCTGTAGTGTTACAGGTAGGCATATTAATACAGCCTATGGCAATGGCTAGTATGACTTGCAAGACCCATTTGTGCTAAGAAAACTCTTCCCCAGTCACAGCATAGGATTTTTTGGACCACTGTTGCCATCACATGTATTGAACTGACATCTTCTCAGATGCTCAGCTCTCAACCTAACTGCAATCATTTTCTCCTGTTTCCTCTTCCCAACCTACCATGCACAATTCCCCCCCCCCCTTCCTCGTTCCCTCCACGCAGCCAAATTTGTGGCATCATGTTTCCATGAGTCCAACTCAATACCTGCATCAATCATGTCACCCTGGCATACATTTATATGGCTGGTATTTTTTCTTCTTCTTCTTTGCATTCACTGACTGTTTACTGGCTTGTTCATCCACCTCTGGACTTTAGTCTTATTCCAGAGACTGAGTGTTGCGTGCACTTTCATTTAACAGATCTGCCTTCATTGTAAGCAGACTGTTAAATACTTGCCTCTCAGGCAAATGCACTCCGACTTCGAAGGAAGCCACCAATTAGTCAACTCTTACGACATGCTTGTTGGGGAGGCAATGGGTCTATTCTTGTTTTTTTCCACAATGGGGCCCCGTAACTCACACGGGGATTATGGCTAGTATGACGGTGACCACATCATTTATCAAGTGTTTGTTAATCTTTCAAAATACTGGGCAAGCACCATATGTCCAATGAAGAGAAAGCAACTCCTGTATTGTTAGTGACAGACTCAACTAACACATTTAAGAAGATCCAAACTGGCAAAAATTGACTAGAATTGATTGACAGCATCCAGAAATCCTGCCTCAAGAAACCATCATCGCTCTACACCATGCGACATGCCAAGATAAAAGGAAATAAAAAACAGACTGGCTGTATCCGCAGTATTTAGTGGATAAAGAAGTGTAGACAGGCATGCTGAATGTGCAGTGTTGCAGAGAAGTTAGGACAAAGGAGTCAGAAATGATAAACTTCTTCTTCTTCTTCTTCTTCTCTTCCACCTTGTACCTCATCGAAGTGTCGGGGGGGAGATGTAATGTTCGTTGATGAGCTTTGTCAAGAGCACTATTAAGACTGATGTTCATTTCTGTAAGGCTGTTCTTAATGCCATCACTCCATCTTTTCCGAGGTCTTCCACTCGCTTTATACCCGTTGTAACGTTTTAGTGTGGCTCGCTGTGGCAGATAGTACCAGGGCATTCTTGTTAGGTGTCCAAACCATTTCATTTGTTGTTCTTTGATGACCTGTAAGACTGGCTTTATTCCTAGCATTCGTCTGATTTCATGATTTTGTATTCTGTCTTTCCTTGAAACTCCTGCAGCTCTTCTAAGGCCTTTCATCTCTGTTGTCACAATTTTACGTTCATTGGAGGATGTAAGTGTCCACGTTTGGCACTGATAGCATAATATTGGCCAAAAAATAGTTCTGATAAGATTCACTTTAGTACTCTGAGGTATCTGCTTGTGTGTCAACAGGGGAGATAGTTGACCCATTACTTGATTAGCTTTGGCACATCTGGAGCTAATTTCTCTGTCCAGTTTTCTGTCTGAAGTAAAAATTGCTCCCAAATACTTAAATTCCTCTGTTTGTCTCAGGGTGTTGTTTTTTAATTTAATTTCTAAATTGTCTTTATATCTTCCTATCATCATTGTCTCTGTCTTCGTAGTGTTTATTTTCATATTATATTCCTCCCCTTTGTTACTAATTTGATTTAGGTGGTTCTGTAGGCATTCCATATTTTCTGCTATGAGTACCTGGTCGTCGGCGAAAAGTAATTCTGTTATATCTTCTCCCTGATTAAAGTCTGAGAAATGATAAACACTTGTTGGAAATGGCTAATAAACGAGGACAAGCACTCAGGGCAAAGAAAGAAGATAAGCCAGTCAACTCCTCCTGAGTATGGTAAGCATGGAGACACTGAGACGGCTGCTGCATTGAAGGACGGGTCATGAATGGGTCACACATATGTACTAGGATGTTGATACAGACAACAAGTAACCATATGACCACCAAGAGTCAATTCATTGTTTATATAGATGTGGCACTGTGTGTGTCATGTGCGCATGTGTGTGCATGCTTGCGTGTATGTGTGTGTGTGTTTGTGTGTGTGTGGGTGTGTGTGAGTGAGAGAGAGAGAGGGGTGGTGGTGTGAGCAAAGCGACAGGCAGAAAGAGATGATAGAGGTGGACAGATGAACAGACAGCCAAAATAGGGAAAATACAGAAGCAGAAATTAAGACAGTGAGTAGGCTGTAAAATCATTACAACTGTTTCATGCATGCATTAAAAATGTACATAAGTGTTGTAGTAAGCAAGTTACATGAGACACCCTGCCTGGCAAAATATTTACTTTCCAAAAGGCATAACGAGGCTGAAACTATGTGAAATTATGAGGAGGAGAATGTCAAGCAAATATGTTCATGTAAATATGCCATTGTACTACCTGTCATAGTCTCCATTGCACAGCTGCCGAACTGACATAGAGAAAGGTTGCCATGTTGGATTCAGTGTATTCTTTACAACTTCTGTCTTATGCACCAGAGTATGGCTGGAATGTACAAAAATTGTTAAATAATGATATTCATGAAATTTTTTTTTTTCATATTATTGAATACTTACATCCCCACCTGTGTGATACCAGAGACTATAAGAGATGTATAGAATAGTAATATAATAAGAAATGATGCATGTTTGAATAGCTGGGGGCCAGTATGATTCTGCTATCTTATCCCGTAGAAAATAATGGCAGCAATCTCCAAAGCCATGAATAAGTTTACAAAGATGTCTTGGGTAGTTGGCTGATGTCACTTGAGATAAAACTGTAATGAAATTGGCAGAATGAAAAAGGAGAAGGAGGCGGCGGAGTAGGAAAAGAACCCATGTTCCTTGCTGCAGTAGTTGTTTACATGAACTATAACTGAAACATACCACCTGCATTCATATCATCCTTTTATTACATTATAGGACAAATAGTGCTCATTGTCTACCTCTATTCTGATTCTCCTGTGAGTCCTCTCGATATCATAGATAGAATCCAGTCCAGACACTCGGCCTCTCTCGTCAATTTTCTTTTCAGGGTTTCTTTCAACGTTCTCACTTTCTCAATCAATTTGCATCCCAAATCAATGCCTGTCTGGTGATTTTCTGCTTGCTTCTTCTCAGGATGTGTCCAGTGTTGCATTATCTTCTTTACCTATAAGTGTAGACACTAGTGATTGTCAGTTTTTAGTAGGCATTTCCTTATACTTTGGATTTTTTCTCCAGGCTATGCCGGCGTAGTGGGTAATGAACAGGCAGATAGATTTGCTGGATCTGCACCACTGGGTGGTGAATTGATACATGACAAGGCAAATGTGGTCAAAGTCCTTTGGGAACAAGCAACCGAATCAGTAGAGAAACAAGATTATTATGGCCTGGAGAGAATGAGGCACCTGGGTGTAACCAGAGGGTCTGGCCAGCTCACTACACTCAGAGGAAAGCCAAGACGGACATATAACCAGATTGTGACCAGTTCCATCAGTAATGGAACTCTGCACTCGCTGCTGAAGATAAGGACAAAGCACACATAGGAATGCCCAGAGTGCTGTGGTATCAATTCTTGACTCAACTCAACTTTTTCTTGGATAAGGGTGATTAACTTTCCAATGAGCATCTCCACTCAAGCTGTAAGCACACACATTGGACCACATTGGATGTCAGGTTTGGTATATGCTACAACATATGGTATCTCAGTCAAATCACATCAACAGCAAAGAATTAAAGAAAGACCAAAACCACATGGCAACAAGAATTAGAGACTGAGGTGAATAAGATGGAAAGTGCATGTAGTTAGCAGAATGTGACAGCTTGATATGAGTTAGTTGAGGGACTATGCCTAATTGGAGGACACACAGCAGATGATGAATAAGATTGAAATCACTAGTGCCAGCATTATCCTTAGATTTATAGTTCCTATTCAGTCCTTTTTATAATAACCTCCTGCACTGTTCAACTCTAATAAAGTTAGTTGCGTATCTTTTACAGGACGTTGCAGAACCAACCCCAACTCAGACTTGAGTTAGAAGAAGAACGGATGAGCACTTATGGGTTACTACACGTGTGCCATGCTGTTGATCCGTTGTTCAAAACCTCGAACCTCATTCCTTTAGTGCTGTCAGGTCAATGTTTCATGCATGACTGATCTGAAGGATGGTTTCAAGCAAATTTCTCATCCCTGACTCAAATCTAAAAAAAATTCTTTGCAGTAAATGTTTAATCAATGACTCTTATGTGAAACAGAGTTGGAGGCAAATTTCCATTTACAACAAACAAACAAAAAAAACAAAAAAAAACTCCAAAAAATAAAAACTTACCTAAAATCTTCATTAACCCTGTAAAACATCAGGAAGGGGTCAGATTTTCCAAAGAGATCTTTCTTGTCCAGATGAAGTCCTTTCAGCTGTATGACCACATCATCCTAGCAACGATAAATAGATGTTAATATTTATTTTTTTGCCACACAAATCTCTAACACCTATTTATTTATATGAGATAAAGCACAATGAAGCTGATCTTCTTGACTTTTAAGCTTTAGAAGATCCCATTTTATGGTATTATGGCATTTTGTGTCTTCTTCTGTATCTTTTTTCTGCCAGTCATCTTACAATGAAGGGTAAGCCCTTAGCCAACTTGCGGCAAGGCCTCTAAACTTGTTCACTGCTGGGTGGATTTGTGGCTACAGATCTTAGGCAAACCATTCTCAGTTTTAACTTAACGACATGTATGGTAATTCATAGCGTGACTATTTTTTTGGCTTCCCTCACAGGCCCAGATTTGAACATGGCACTTGGTCCACATTTTCTGGGCTTCATGGCACAGGAGTGATGTGCTCAATGTCATGCTAAGTATGAATGAATGAAGCTCGACCCCACCAGGGACAAACACCCGGCAACATAAAGTGCTCCCATTTGGATGAGAATCACTCTGGGGCAAGTCCCAAAAACCATGTTCAACCATTAGGTTATATTAGGTCCCCCGACTACAGCCGTGTTGGGGCTTTAAAATAACAATAAACTGTGTCCCATAATGGAACGGCTGTAAGGGTAAGTATCATGCCAGCTATTCACCTGGGAGTGAAAAAAAGGTCTACACAACTTTCTACCCACAGCAGGCAACAACAGAAAACACAAAAAAAGACAGGCAAACTTTCAATCAGGTTGCAGCTGGCACCATCACCATGAGGACTCTTCACTGGCTACTGAGGAGAAGGACAGAGTACATATGGGAATGTCCCCAGTGCAGTGATGTCAATTCTTGATTCATTCATTCATCCATGCTGGCTGCCTTACACCCCCAGAAAAATATACTTGTTTGAGACTTTTAAACTGTTTTAACCTATCAAGCTTTCAACAAAACATTACGTAAAGAATAAAGAAGAGGCTTGAACCACTATAGCCAGTATGCCACTAAAGCTCTTTAGTCCACTTTTTTTATTTGTTAAAGTTAGTTGTGTACCATTTATAGAATGTTGTAAAACCCGAGCTGTTTTGGTCTTAATAGGTATTTTACATTTCGTAGTTTGCCACTGCATTATGAATGGTTGGGCTCTTGATACAAATATTAAAATCAACACAAAGCGGTCTGCTGCCAAATCATTTGCAGCTGAAATTGACTGGTTACCTCAGAATTTCACTGTTCAGTGTGTAAAATGTAAAACTTAAACATAAATCTAAAAAAAAGAAAAATGGATATATTTCAAGTCCTTTGTTGCGAACGTGGTTCACAATGCCGCGGTGCCGAGTTTGATCCCAGCTGCAGACGATTTGGCAGCAGATCATTTTGCACTAACTTTGACATTGGTATCGAGAGTCACTATTTAGAGAGCAATGGCAAGCTACTGAATGTAAATTTGCCTAGATAAACCACAACTGCCAAAGAATGCTGAGGTTGTTTCTACAACATAATATAAGGATACACAACAAACTTTCCAGCCTGTAGGGGTGTTTGAAACATGGTGCTATCCCCATTTTGTATAAACCAATGGGTGAAATGGTCACAAGCACTCCGGCTGGGTTTGACATCCCACAGCTGACTTGGCATCCATTCTTAGACTAGTTTAACCTAAAAGTCCAGGTCAGATTATAAAATCAGCCTTGACGGAGATGCCACCATAAAACCACCCTGCTAGCAGGCCAGTGTGGCTATAATTAAATTACTATGACCTCAAAATTAAAAGTGTAAATAAACAAACAAAACTAACAGTAGCATATACTTTGTGACTCATCAGTGCATAAAGAAACACTGGTAGTGCAAAAACACAACAGACACAGATTCATAAGTAGAAAAAGGTAAAGTAAATATCCTTTTTCACACCTTAGGCGCATTGGGCATATGGGAAGAGCACCTATATTTTTACAGACCAATCAGCACTAGCTGGGTAATGTGGTCAGCATTACGCCGGCTGTCTCTACTTCCCCAGGACATACACCCTGGTACCCACTTTAGGCTGGGTTGACCTGCAATGCCCCGTACCATGATAAAAATCCATGCAGCCAGCAGTGGGTTTTAATCGCGGTAAGTTGGAATTACGAGTCGGACTCGCAACGCCTAAGCCACGGACGCTGCACAGATTCATAGTAAGTGAAAAAAAAAAACTAGCCAGCTGGTATTGCAATAATACAAGAGAAAATGCAGGATTCATTTTTATCAACATAAGTCGTCAGTCGTTAGTCGTTACGGTTCCGGCATCACAGCAAATGAGCTTGGCCCATAATTGCTCAACCGCCTATACCAGTGATTCCAGTCACAGAGTCAGGTACGCTGGATATTTCAAATGTATGCCATAACCATACAAAATGTCCTCAGTCAGCAAAACACACACGATTTGATCTGGCAAACCATAAGGTGCATGCCTCCTCAAACACACTGCGAGACCAGGTGTCATCTCTGAAAATCAACATAAGTGATCATTGATAGTGCAACAAAATAAAAGTTTTCTTGGCTGTTTCACAAATGAACCTTCCTTACCTTACATGTGCTGACCTCCTCTGTCCTAACTGTAAATATAAAATATATAAAATAATTGCAAATATGAAACGAATAACAAAAAATAAATAATCCTATAAAGATATATGAAATGCTAACAATATTTCAAGCACTTATAAGTTTTTTTTCAAATGTTCAGTTAAGTATTTAGCATACCATTCACTTATGTCTTTTTTTCTTTTCATCATCATCATCATCATCCCATAACACTACTGGTCGTTGGGTCACCAGTTTTTGTTGACTGTCTGATCAGCTCTCTCCACCTTTGGCGGTTAGTTGCGATGGACTTCATGGTTGCATGCCTGAGGCTTGTCCAGTCAGTCAGGTTCTGTAACCAGGTCTTTCTTGGTCTGCCTCTTCTCCTCTTTCCCTCTACTGAGTACCGCAGTATTGTTTTTGAGCGGTCATTAGATCTTACTACATGTCCATGCATTGCATTTTTGGCCTTTTCACTGTATTTGAAAGAGGTTCATAGTTAGATACATATTTGCACCTTTCCGCCAAAAACATCCGTTTTTGGCAAATCCTGAATTATTAACACTTTTTTAAACATGCTTGTTAAGCAGTAGTGGATCCATTTATGAGTTCAAATTCTCAGGAAGTTGATGGACACATTTTTCTGTCGGGGCAAAATAAACAATTCCAGCTTGTGCAACCTGTGGTGACTGCACTCACCATGGGGGACTAAACTGATTCATGGGGGACTAAACTGATTCATGGGGGACTAAACTGATTCATGGGGGACTAAACTGATTCATGGGGGACTAAACTCATTTATGGGGGACTAAACTGATTATCAGGCTCATGACTCCTCAGTCCTACACAAGGTGGTAAGCACAGGGAATCATGACAGTTTTTTGAGACAGCAAAAAACATTACCAACAAAGTGAACACACATGAACATCATTTTTTATGCCATAAAACACGTACAACTGCAGAAGTCTGTTGCTACTCACTTATAATTTTTCCTTTTCGTGATGCTGCATTATTTCTGTAAAAGGAATAAAGAAAACACAAATTTTTACTTTTAACTCACCTACAGGTGCTATGCTATAGTTTCTTTATGCTGTTTAGCTTTGCATTGCTATAGCAAGTCTTTTTCTGACTTCTTTGTGCAGTCATCATTATTTTTCACTATACAAATTTTTACTTTTAACTCACCTACAGGTGCTATGCTATAGTTTCTTTATGCTGTTTAGCTTTGCATTGCTATAGCAAGTCTTTTTCTGACTTCTTTGTGCAGTCACCATTATTTTTCACTTCTTAGCCTAAATTTTTAAACAAAATCTGTGACCTTTTTTCTTTGTTATCGATTATAATAAGTGGGTGATGTGCTGTATTCATGGTGGACACTAATTTTCTGAAATATTGTTTTATATTCAGACAGAAACAGATTTTCTTCTCTACTGTGCTTTGTGATAAATTTAAATCTGTCTAAGCCCTGGACACTTTTTAAAAGGAGAATTATGTCATCTGCATATTTGAGTTCTGGGATGGGCTTGATTCCAAATGTGAGTCGATCAAAGGTGTCATGGGCCTCTTTGCTAACTGCATGTCTTATAATATTTTTAGCATATATATTAAAAAGGGATAGAGAAAAAGTGCAGCCCTGTCTTACTAGTCTCTGCACCTGAAACCAGTCCGATGTTTCACCAGCTACTCTGACAGCTGCTGGTTTTTCATGTTAGAGAGATTCCATTAGATCTACCAAATGTTTTGATACCCCATGCATCTCAGTGAATGCCACACTTTTGGTGTTGATCACAGTCAAAAAAAAGCTTTGCTGTAATCTATGAATCATGAATGGAGAACTATCTTGTAAGATTCAAATACTGAAAAATATGATCCCTTATTCCTCTGCCATGTCTAAAACTTGCTAGGAACTTAAGAAGGAACCAGGAACCTAAAGAACAAAACTGTATAGGGCAGAAATAATTATGGTGTCAACAGTGGTACGGTGAATTAATAATGAGCATAAAGAAAAATGAGGAAAAAATAAGTGATACAATTAGCTGATGTAAAAACTGCTCTGAACATAAATGATAAAGTCTGACAGTAATTTAAAAAAAAAAATAGGCAAATATGATGCCAGACTCCTATTTTCATGACCAATCGAAACCTGACGGGAAGAGAAGGCCAGCCAGAGAGATCAATGGATCCAGGTTATATTTGCAGCAATGAACCTCTAGGGCTTATAAACTATCCTCACATCCTTTTTAGGATGAAACTTGTTGTTATTTCCAGCCCCAACCCTGGCTTTGCCAGGGGCCGCAATATAGGCAGGCCATAAATATGGCCAATTGTCTGAACGCGGTTTCTGGGACCTCTCCACGGCGATCCTCATCCACATGGTGGCACTTTGTGTCATCGGGTGTTTATCGCTTGTGTGATGTCCTGGTGGGGTAGAGTCAGTCAGTCTAGGGCTTGGAATGCTGATGAATACGAAAACAAAAAAGAAGAACTGACATTCAATGGGTAATATGGTCAATATCCTGCCAGCAGCCTTGACTTCCCATCATATTACCAGGTACCTATTTTAGGCTGGGTAGACTTGGGAGCCAAGGTCTTTTTTTTTTTTTAAATCAACCCAGTGAACATTCGAACCCAAGACCAACATCTAGCCACTAAAAAAATTTAGACTACCAACAATAATAAAACTTACTGTAAATTTTTTTCAAAGCAAGAATTTGGAGCACTAACAAGTTCTCCAAGGGAACATTCAATGGAGCCCAAGAAATCCTGAAATGAAACAGTTTACCTATAAGAATTATTTCCACAAATAAAATGTGTGCCACGACACACACACAAACACACACACATGCACACACAGGTACTGTTCACTACACTACTTTTTGCAGTAAAGTGGTTCTGAGGTTTTATTTTTAGATAAAGAAGAGAGCAGACACAAGCGTCTTCACGTTTTTTTTTTTTTTTTTTTTTTTCCATTTAAGCGTGCTAGGCCCTGTACCAAGACATCATGTCAGCCCAAATCTGTAAAAGCTGGAAAAACAGTTTTATTAGGGTGAATGCAGAAGAATTAGTAAAGAGGCAACTTCCATGTTTTAGCTGGGCCCACATGGAGAGTAAGAAATAGCAATATGAAATATACCATGCATGTTATAAGAGGCAACAGACGGACGGCTGTTGACTGACTGGCTATGTCATCCACTGTAGCTTTAAAATCCAACAAATCATGAACAATTCTACCAAGTTAGTTGCGTATTTGTTAACAGGACATAGAAGAACCAACCCCTGTGTTGGCTGTTTGTTTGTTTTTTGGAAAATTTTACATTCAGTAATTTGCCACTGCTTTCAAAAATGCGGTCTAAAATAGATTCGACAAAGTACCTGGTACATACTGGCTAAATGTAAATGTTTGTGTTTCACTGCGAGTCAAAAGGCAGAAAATGAAAAGGGTTAAAAAAAAAAAAAAGATTGTGTGGGGGGAGGGGGAGGGAGATTAGTAAACCTAAAATGCTGTATTAAAAGTAGAGGGTCAGACAAAAGAGACAAATTCTGGAACTTCAGAGTAAGAAAAAGTAAAAGTAAAGGACTTCTTTTCCACACCTTCAGGTGTATTGGGCATATAGGGCTAGACCTGGTACCCACTCAAGGCTGGGTTAACCTGGGAGCCAAGATCATCTCTGCAGAAAGCCTGGACTTCAATTAGGACCCGAACCCACGACCTTCCAATCCGCAGGCAAGCATCTAGCCACTACACCATGGCAATTCCTGAACTCCAGAGTAAGTAGGAGTAACTCAATTAATGTCAGCTCCAAGAGTAATATCATCATCTTCATCCTGTCGTGTCATTATAACTCACACAGACCTAGCAGTTTAGTTCTCTCTTCAGTGGCTCTCTGAGACCAAATGGACAGTGCAACAGAACAGATAGAGAATCCAAACTCTGAAAGACTAATTCAACAGGGGTGAGTAGAGGTTCCAGAATATCTTCAACATTGAAGGGGAAACAGAAGTAGACTTTTCCAATCAGGTTGCAAATGATACGGTTAGCATGATGATTCTTTGTTGGCTACTGAAGAAGGGGATGGAGCACAGGTGGGCATGTCCCGAGTGCAGTGAAGTCAATTCTTGGTTCAGCCATTCATTCTATGCAGTTATACCCTGTGCAAACCTGCTGACATCATGGATGGAAATTTAGTCCAGCACCTTTAGCCTTTCTCAACAATGTTCCTTTTAATGTTTCTCTTGAATGTTCTAGTTTCCTCAATCTATTTGTTTCCCATTCCATTGCCTTTTTGGTGAATCTCTGCCCACTTCATCTTAGGATATGACCAATATAGCACCATTTTTGTTGCCTTATAACTGCTGATTGGCACAGGATATAAGTGACACCTTGAGTGTGAAAGTGCATGAGGAGGGAGAACTGGCGAGAGACCGAGTTTCTTTCAGGCAGACTGTGATGAGAGCGACATTCTGCAAAGGACCTGCTACATGATGATGATGATTTAACTGCTGATACCAGTGGTTGTCCAGATTTCAAGAGTAACAAAAATAAGAAAAATAAGAAAATTACACACGAAAAAAGTCTAACTTACATGACGTGATAGCTGGGTGCTTGCACTGTCAACATCATATCTGCACAACAACAATAACTTTTTAATGTAGCTGATATCATATTTAACAGTAGAACACAAAAAGTTTCTGAATGTAAAGTCCTATTTTCACAACTACTTTTCAAACGCAACTATTGTAATGCAAAATAAATTATTGTTATTGTAATAACAAAAATGATTCAAGATGCAAATTTCTATTTTATCAACTTCTCAGATAAATGTAGCTACTTCCTCTGTCTTCTTTCCCCCAAATGGAGCATAGGTGCTCAACCAACTCACACCAAGTCATTCCTGCAGAGCTTTCTGGTTGTTTGTCAACTTCTGGACTTTCTCAGATCTAACTTATATGTAGGCAGACTGTTGGTTCCTCTACAATCAAGCAAATGCATCTCGACTTCAAAGGAAACACCACTAATTAGTAAACTTGTATGACATGCTTGCTGGACAAGGGTGGCCCCATCTTGGCCCATCTTCCCCTACAGATGGGTTAAGAATCCCCAGGGGAAGTCCAACTACTTCTGTCTTACAGTGCCTCTGCTCAGATCTTACAGACCAACATATTTACTGCTTTTAAGTTCAACCTAATGAGATTTAATGAGTTAAAGTAACATTTCCTTGAGACTGAAAGAGTTAATTTATTTAACACTTAATATTACAGTATGAAAAAAACCTACACTGTCAGGATGTAGTTAATTTTTTTTTCCACAAGAAAATTAAGAAGGCAACTGAGATAAATCTGAACAATGCAACAAAGCAAGATTTTCAGAATGCTAAGTAAGTTACATATCCTTTCCAACATAACAAACCAATCTGAGATTAGTTAGTTATCTGTGGCTGTAAAAGGAAATTTTACATTCACTGGTTTGCCAGTTCTTTCTGAATGGTTGAATGCACATATCACTGTCAGATTCAATGCAATGTAGTGTACTCAGAACTTGTCATCCTAACAGTAGTAGCATGTTTCTCCTTCTATTTTCCTGTTTTTGTTTTCTGTCTTTTATCTCCCAATGGAGCATAAGACCTCAACTAACTCATGCTAAGCCCTGTGTAGACTTTGTCCTTATCATACTGGACTGCAGGCTGCACCAGACTGGTGTAGCCGTTACGGATGCCCTAACTATAACTTCTGTGGAGGACGAGTGAACAATGCCGGGGCGCAAATAGATCATTATGGTCTGAGGAGAATGGCGCTGTGACGAGTTACCAGGGAATCTGGCCGACGCTCAACACTCAGGGGAAAGACGAGATGGCTATACAATCAGACGATTACTGGTGCCATCTGAATTAGAACTCTTTGCTTTCTGCTTTTGGGAGTGTCCAGAATGCTGTGATGTTGATTCTTAACTAAAGATTCAACATTCTTTAGAGGCTAAACTGTGTATCTGAGATCTACCTTGTTGGTTTGCTGTCCTGACTGAGATTTTTGTATTCTCAGGCTGGCATGGTAAACTTTTAGGTAGTAGTCCAGAAGGGAAAAGGGGGGGGGGGGGGGGGGGGACTGATCAGCTGATCAACTTTTTCAGGATTTATTTAAATTTGCAGTTATTTTTCTATGGGATAAGACAGCCGATGTCATTCATGTAAGTGTGAATAGATCATTATAGTGTGTTGAGAATGGCACAATAGGGAATGACCAGGGGGTCTGGCCGACACACGACATTCAGAAAAAAGCCTAGTTTTATCTTTTTCTTCTTCTTCTTTTTTTCAATAGCCCGAAATAGATGATCTTTATATCTACAATGTTGTCTCTAGTACAAAGTTCACTGTTTTGTGTAATTCACTCAGTGATTCGTGAAGTTCGGCTTGAACGGTTGCCATTATAAGGGCCATCTAGGGGTAGCGGCATGGGAGGACCCTGAAAAGGACCATCAGTCTCCATACTGGTGGGTTATGGTGAGGATAAGTATTTGATGCAGTGATGCTGACAGGTCAAGGACATTCGTGGCGAAAGCAAGGTCACGAAGTAAGAAAACCACTTCCAAACAGGGCACAGTGGTGGTGACCAACGAATAAAGGTATCACACACTGGATATACATGCAACGCGTGATGAAAAATGCTGAAAACAACCAACATATGACACTCTAGAATATGGGAGTTTTAGTGTTTTTGGGTTAGGGTTATGTGAACAGTGACTAACATTAACCCTAACCCCGCCGACCCCGACCCCCACCCCCGACCCCTACCCCCACCCCTCTCCATACTATAGGACACTTTTTCGGCAACTCTCTGGGAATTCCCTAAGAAATCTCGGAGCCCCAGAGATGGGGTGAAAAAGTGGGAAAGAACTAAATTATTTGCTGGCTGCTGAAGATGAGGACAGAGTATGTGTGAGAATGTGCTGAGTGCTTGATGTCTTTCCTAACTCAACTCAACATCTGCCATTGAATCACAATAATAAAAAAAAAATCAGTTGATATTATGTAGCTGTTACCTATATTTTCTAACAATTAACAAAGATATGCAAACTAAATATATATTCCTTTTGAAAAACCTTACATTTCAAATTTAAAAATCTGTCGCTCCTCAAAGAAGTAGTCAACAAGAAACTTTTTAACAAAGTCAGGGTTTAAATTATTCTGCACAACCTCAGTTCTGCCAACCTAAACATAGAAGAAAAATACAGAACAGAGTAAGTAAACATTAAAGAAAAATGTATTGTGTTTATTTCTTGATCTTCTTTATGTGATCCCTAGTCATCATATATTTCTTCCTTATAAGGCTCCATGTTTTGTCAAAACCAGGTTGGACTCTAAAATGAGTTTCTGATTAATATTCAAAAGGTTTCTCAACACCAGCTGCACACAGATGCTGTGATTGTAACAGGCTTACAAAGCTTGCTAGGAAAGGTGGAGAGAGGCATGCTCCAGGTCGAACAGTTAGCATCCTTTGGATTTTTTCTTCAGGGCAAAAAGGTATTCTGGGAAACAAACAGCTAAACAGATTGGTTGGTGCTGCATCACTAAGTGAAAAATTGAGGCATGACAAGTTAGATGTGGTCATTATTTTTTGGGAGCAAATTAACAATGCAGAGACACATACAGATCATTATGGTGGTGAAATTAACAATGCAGAGACACAAACAGATCATTATGGTGGTGAAATTAACAATGCAGAGACTATTATGTGGTGAAAAACAACGCAGAGACATGAGGCAATGGCACACAAACAGTTCATTATGGTGGTTATTTAACAATGCAGGAGACACAAAATCAGATCATTTTGTGGTGGTGAAATTAACAATGCAGAGACACAAAAACAGATCATTATGGTGGTGAAATTAACAATGCAGAGATCATTATGGTGGTGAAAATTAACAATGGCAGAGACACCAAACAGATCATTATGGTGGTGAAATTTAACAATGCAGAGACACACAAACAGATCATTATGGTGGTGAAATTAACAATGCAGAGACACAACAGATCATTATGGTGGTGAAAATTAACAATGCAGAGACACAAACAGATCATTATTTTGGTGAATTATGCAGAGACACAAACAGTTCATTTGGTGAAATTAACACAGAGACACAAACAGATCATTTTGGTGGTGAAATGAACACAGAGACACAAACAGATCATTATGGTGGTGAAATTAACAATGCAGAGACACAAACAGATCATTATGGTGGTGAAATTAACAATGCAGAGACACAAACAGATCATTATAGTGGTGAAATTAACAATGCAGAGACACAAACAGATCATTATGGTGGTGAAATTAACAACGCAGAGACACAAACAGATCATTATGGTGGTAAAATTAACAATGCAGAGACACAAACAGATCATTATGGTGGTGAAATTAACAATGCAGAGACACAAACAGATCATTATGGTGGTGAAATTAACAATGCAGAGACACAAACAGATCATTATGGTGGTGACAGAATAGTGCAGCTGGGAGTAACCAGGAGATCTGGCCAAACTCAACACTCAGGAAAAAGGCGAGTCAGACTCGCAACCAGACTAATACTGGTACAGAATAGGAGCTCTTTGCTGGCTGCTGAAGATGGGTATGGAACATGTATGGGAGTGTTCCAAGTGTTGTGAAGTCATTTATTAACTCATTTTAACTCAAAGGTTCTCAACCATATGCACTGATAGCCCCACAACAAAGTCTAGCTCCTGACCGAATCAAGACAGACACATCTGCATTAAGAAAAGAGGAATGAATAACAGGTATCAACTATATACAAAAAAAAGGCTCCAAAGGTATAATGGTCAAACCATTTGCTTGGTGTACTGACGGTTGTGATTCATGTTCTGCTTGCTTATTTCAGGTAAGTTCTATCTTTGTTGTGTATATGACATCCCCAAGGAAATCATCACTGAAGCTACAAGCTCACACTTGTCAGATACCCTATGTCAGATAGGATAAAACCTGGTGAACACTGTTTTATTCAGCTAGAGCTATGGAGTTCCTACTTTGCATGAGGCTCTCTGCAGATGACTAGCTCTTTTATGGACAGCAAAGCCATATGGGATTTTTTCAAACCTGGTACAATGTCCATCTTCTTAACTGTCAACTTTCTTTCCCTAGCTATTTTCCTTACATCATATATCTTCAAGCCCATAGTGTCTCCGATCTCCTGTATCCAACTTTATGCTGGTCTACCCCTGCCTCACCTTGATATTTAAAGAATGATTTATGTAATTACAATTCTGTGAGCGCTTACCTCATACAAATGTCTAGTCTTAGGGTCAACTGCTTTCAGCACACACATGGGGTCCGACTTTGAAAAGACATCCCCATCTATCAGGCTCCTGAAATGTGTTATGAATTTAATTTATACAAAGCTATATTTTCCTTACCCTCCTGCCCCCCTCCCCCTTTTTTTCAATCCCACCCTTCCAAGGATTGCTGCCTGAAAGACTGACACCCAGTAACTTGAAGAGCCACTTTTCCAACTGAATACAACAGGAGCACATTTGGAGAAAAAGAATTGTATGCTTCTCATTTCAACAAAGACATTTCTAAATAAAATAGAAAGAAAGGCAGAGATAAATTTTAAATCTCCTCATATGGGTTCCTGGGCTCCATTCTGGATAACAAATAACAGACCCACTGCCCCCCCCCACTCCCATGTCAAATAAGGCGATTAATTAGGGGTGTTTCCTTCAAAAACAGTGCATCTGCCAGAGAGGCAAGGAACCAACAGTCTGCACATAAATAAGCCAGATCTGTAAAACAGATGTGCATGTAAATCTCAAGTTCTGGATCTTGATCAGTGTCCAAGTGTGGGCAAACAAGCAGAAATTTCCGTCCAAGTTTACAGTCGGTTAATGCGAAGAAAATGAAGAAGAGGAAAATCTCAAAATACCAATTATTTTGTCATTTTGAATCATCTAACTAAAGCATTTCAACTGTTTAGCCTAGCAATTTAACGTGTAGTAATATAAATAGTCTTTGCCTGCTCTCTTCCATTTCCTAAAAAAGCATAAGCCCTCTAACAAACCATTGAAAGAGCTATGTAGTCAAAGTTTTTTAATTATGTAGTCAAAGCATTTGATTTATAAGGTTGCCAACCTCATGCCAACCACCCCTCACTGCCCATTATGACAAGCATAACAAAACCTTTTATCTTCATAATAATTATAACAGAATAGTAAAGTAAAGTAAAGATCCCTTTTCACGCCTTAGGTGCATCGGGCATTTGGGAAGAGCATCCCATATTTTTACAGACCAATCAGCACTAGGTGGGTAATGTGGTCAGCATTAGGCCAGCCGTCTTTACTTCCCCAAGACAGCCATCCTGGTACCCATTTTAGGCTGGGTCGACCTGCGACGCCCCATACCAGGATAAAAATCCACGCAGCCAGCAGTGGGTTTCAATCGTGGCATGTTGGAATTAGGAGTCGGACTCCCAACGCCTAAGCCATAGACGCCGCATTATAACAGAATAATAAGAAATAAGACAAGTAGGGGGGAAAAGGAATGAAGAAAAGAAAAGAGAAATACGCCAAGGAAGGAAAGAGAAATATGCCAAGGAAAGAAAGAGGGAAGATAGGGAGGGAGGCTGAGTGAAGTATGAAAGAAGGAACAAACAAATAAAGGAAGAAAGAAGAAGAAAGGAGATTTTGAAAAAAAGTAAAAAAAAAAAAAAAGATGGAATTAAGGTAGGAACAGACAGAGAGCGGAATGAAGGGAGGGGGAAAAGAATGACAAAGAATGGGACACAATTAAATTTTATTTAAAAAGAATTATAAGATATGCTAAAGGAAGCTAATATCATAAACAGACCGGCATGACACACTGATCTCCACTTTAGTGCAAGGAATGACAGCTGTTCCAGGTGTAAATCTAGGGTCCATAGTCACAGGCTAACATACAACCAGATGGAGCCACCAGCAGTTTGTTCTTGAAAGTCAACACAGACTGCTGCAAACAAAACAGTGATAAATGTGGTGTAAGACATTACTGGGTGATAGCAGTCCCTTTCCTTCCTTCCTTCCTTCCTTCCTTCCTTTTCTCTTGCATACCACCAGGAAAAGCCGTTTTCATGAATATTACTGCAACTTGCTCAGTGCAGAAACAGCTTAGTGTATTTTGGCATTCTCATATTTATGTAACTGACTACAGTAATCAACCACCAACATCTACATAACCAGCACATTTCAAATACTGAGGGGATGGGGGGGGGGGGTGGTGTCTCGAGGCATGGCGTCTGCCTCGAGTGCTTTAGGTCCCAGGTTCAGGCCCGGGTGAAGGCTGGGACTTTCTCATATGGACTTAAGTCATTTCCCCTGGTTTCTGGGTAATAAGATCGGACGCCTGTGTGTATTGTTGTGCACGTAAAAAAATCCCTTGGCAGTTAGAAATCAAAAAGAAGAACCTTACAGTGATGTCCGATAAAAATTTTGAAGTTAAAAAATCTACCGGAAGTATTTCAGAATCCTCGCAAGCACTACAGAGTTTGTGCACTGCGCTGAGTTTCTTCGGGCTCTGGCTTAAGTTATAAGTAGAACTAAGTACTTATGGGTTACTACCCTTGTGCCGTGATATGATCCACTGTATGGACCAAATACTGATAGCTTTTTAAAAGTGCTGGCCTGAAATCTAAGCAAATAATTAATGTTGAAATAAACAGAAACTGACTTTCCATTAGATGGATAAAGGATATTGAAACTGCATTAGAAAAAAATGAAAGCTCATAGGGCTGGAGTGATGGCTAGGGAAAGGGATACTTTCAGGAGTGCCGTGAAGAAAGCGACATTCTGTAAAGGACTTGCTGATTAATGATGATTACACATATCACATTCTGTATTAGTATAGAAATCATTCACTTATCAACATCCACAAGTCTTCAACATCACATATACATACATATATATATATATATATATATAATCCTCTTTTTTTTTTCTTTTTTACATATAATACAACTGCAGTAAATTCTAACTATAAATTTAAATATAAGTTGTATTGGACAAATCTGGCAAAATAATAACATGCTGTGTAGTGATAATACCTTTGTAATGAGAAACATTAACATGAATCCTTCGCTTAGAACATCTCAGTCTCTAAATTAATATGTTCTTATCTGTTGTCTGCTGGCTTCAGTGTTAAACAGATGAGAAACCATGCATTCTTATTTTACTTTACAGAACAATGCGAGACTAAAACAGCTGACCGGGATATCATATCCGATATGTGTACAATTTGTGGGAGTCGACTTATCAGAACACAGCCGCTATTTCATTTCATCGTAGATCCTACTTTGTGTCACTAATTTATGAATTATTATGTTAACATTTTTTTATCGACTGTGATTGTCAGGATTTAAGTATCAATTATTAATTAATTATTATTAATACCATCTTTAACAGAAACCTGTTTTAATTAATTATCTAATAATTATTATTTACAAATTTATAACACATGTTACGTCCAACATTCGACTACATGTTTTCATAAGCTTTAAGTAAAATGATTGTGTTTAAAAACGATGAAGAGATAAACTGATAAATAAGCGAAACCCGCTCACCTCCCACCAGCTTTTTTTTCCAGCAGACAACAATCAATATATGGCAATGGAAGACATGGAATACGTTTAGGATACAGATCTATACATCTTGTTTGATTTCACGGATCTGAGATAATCCAGTGTTCTTCAACATTTTTTCCAACTACTACTTAACCACACTGGATTACAGATTCTTCGTAACGTCTTGTGTTGCCCCAATATAACTTATAACTATACCATATAGGTATACGCTTGATCAGACTTTCCAGAACTTATGGTTGTTTGTTTCTCATCTGTGAGATGTTAATCTCCTTCTTCTTTATGTCCTCTTTTACTGCTTTGGGTATCGATTGAGATATATGGTCCTGCTTCGTGTTCTTCTGTCTGCTTAGTGTTAATCTTACAGACTGCAGTCCTGCAGGCGAAAACTTGTTTCAGCCAGTGCCGGCAACACAGAAGAAATTGTTTCGCAGACCGATTGATGGATGAATAACCAAAAACAAACAAACAAACACAAACGTAAATAAATCAATGACTGACTGACTGACTTTCTACCCCACCAGGACATCACACAAACGATAAACACCCGATGACACAATGTGCCACCATGTGGGTAAGAATCACCGTGGAGAGGTCCCAGAAACCGCGTTCAGCCTTTAGGTCATATTTATGGCCATGCTATATTGCGGCCCCTGGCAAGAGCCAGAGTAGGGCTTCAAATGATGAAAAATTTCATCCTAAAAAGGACGAATCACAATAAATCAATTACTTAACATGTCTTTTATATGACGTCGCTCTCTTCAAGGCACGCCTGGAAGTCTCTTTCGCTAGCCAAATCTCCAGCTCTGTGTGCATTCAAAGCCAATGCATCTTCCCTGTCATGTATTCGCATTTGCGGTGGTTTACGTCTGCTTCGTTTTCCGTAAACTGCAACCTTCGTCTTCTCTTCCACCTTGTACCTCATCGAAGTGTCGGGGGAGATGTAATGTTCGTTGATGAGCTCTGTCAAGAGCACTATTAAGACCGATGTTCATTTCTGTAAGCTGTTCTTAATGCCATCGCTCCATTTTTTCCGAGGTCGTCCACTCGCTCTATACCCGTTGTAACGTTTTAGTGTGGCTCGCTGTGGCAGATAGTACCAGGGCATTCTTGTTTGGTGTCCAAACCACTTCATTTGTTGTTCTTTGATGACCTGTAAGAATGGCTTTATTCCTAGCATTCGTTTGATTTCATGATTTCGTATTCTGTCTTTCCTTGAAACTCCTGCAGCTCTTCTAAGACATTTCATCTCTGTTGTCACAATTTTACGTTCATTGATAGAATAGTGTTGGCCAAAAAATAGTTCTGATAAGATTCACTTTAGTACTCCGAGGTATCTGCTTGTGTGTCAACAGGGAAGATAGCAGCACCATTACTTGATTAGCTTTGGCACATCTAGAGCTAATTTCTGTCCAGTTTTCCGTCGGATGTAAAAATTGCTCTCAAATACTTAAATTCCTCTGTTTGTCTCAGGGTGTTGTTTTTTAATTTTATTCTTAATCGTCACCGTTCTCTCCATACTACCATAGAGCTTGACAGAGCTTCTGGGTAGAATGCTGTTTATGAGCCTTGATGTTTAGGTTATGCAGGGTGTCGATGATTTTTTTCTTGGTCCACTTTATTCAGAGGATTTTTTCCGTAGCATTTCAGTTCAAAGGCTCTTATTTTCTCCTTCGAAGACTCAGTGAGAGCCTGCGATTCACATCCATAAATTCCCATGGGAAAGATATACATGATCTCTATTCTTCGTCATCCCCCTTGTGGAATGCAATTTTTCATTAATTTGAAGCCCCACCCTGGCTGTAATGCCGGGGGCCATAACCTAACGGTTGAACGCGGTTTCCGGGACCTCTGCTGTTTAGACTGCATTGCTAAAGCAATTTTTTTTTTTTTTGACTTCTTTTGTGTAGTCGCCGTTGTTATATTTGGTAACAGTCGAATAATTAGGCATGTTTCCTTAGAGGTCGGAGCACATCTCCAGAAAAGCAATAAACCAAAAGTCTGCAAAAATAGGCCATATCTGTAAAACGGATATGCATGCAAAACTCAAGTTCTGAAACACGATTAAAGCTCATAAATTTTCCCGAGTTTACTGTTAGTAAACATAATGGAGAAAATAGAAGAATAGAAGCCGAGTTAAATTTCCGAACTCCTGAGGAGGATCTGCGGTTATTGTTCTTTTCCCAAACTAGGCACTTCAGGAGATCCTCGCCGGGGGTCCGGTGTTCGTGATTAGTGTGACACCCTTGGCCAGGTGCCAGCCGTTGTGCGGAAAGAGACAGAGCCATATCCATAGGGAATAAAACATGATGCAGTGAAGTCGATCCCCTCCATTTTAACATTTTAAGCTTTGACAATCCTTGACAGTTACAAACCTTTAACAATACTTTTCTCTAGTTCCCTTTCTACCTTTCAGCATAGGTTGGGTTAGTCATGCAAGGCGAATTGCAGACACCATGTGAAGTCTTCTTGGAAGTTATCAATATTAGCAAACCCGTACCAGCAACAATCAATCAATCATTTAACGTTGACAACTTTCAGCTAGGGTCAGAAAACATTGCAGTTATCTGCCCTGTCCGCTATATTAGTGGTAACGTCTCTAATCCTCATCTCATCTGGTTTTGAATTGTGCTTTCAGTGTTCTGTCGCTCGGTGTTTGTTGTGGTTTCCTGTGGTTTGGCTGTTTTCCGATTCCGATTCCTTTTAAGGAAAAAAAAAATTTAAAGTTTAGCCACTTTCCGACTGCTGCTAGCTAGCCTAAGCTGCTAACAGTTTATTTGCGTCACTTTCGTGACTAATGTTTTAGTATTTGCGCTGTCTCTGGGCTTGATGCTTCCTTCCTTCGAGTCAGACCGTTCGTTCTCTACCCTGTTGTTAACAGTATACTTCTTACCTTTTTCTTTCCAGGTGATTCCTCCTTGGTTTCAGCTTTAGCTGTTTTCGTAACTTGCTGGCTTTGTGCTGCGTTCCAGATCATTAGACTGTCTGCTCCGCCGTCAAGTCAATTTTGGGTGGGTTTGATTGGCTGTTTGGTGTGTCCAAGAAGGGGGATCTGCTTATCCTAAGAAAGACTAGCAGTTATTTGCTTTGGGCAGGTAGCAAGGGATTGTGGTGGGGTCTGGTGTTTTTTCGGTGGTCATATTCTATCCTGGTTTTCGGGTGCTTCACCTACATAGGGTTTCCAGTGGTTTTAATGCTGGTGGTATATTCTCTGGCATTAGTTTTTGTGGTGACTGTGTCGGCTTCGTTTGGCGTCAGGTTTTGGCGTTCGGGCCGGTTCTTCTGACGAGGACCATGGTATGTCGTCTT